TGTTACCGGCGGAGATACTATGCAGTTCTACCGCTTGGTAACACTAAAGTAACAAATTGTCTTCTGTGGGTAAGAAATTGCCTCCTTTCTCGGTAATATTTTTATTACCTGAGCGATGACATTGGGGGAAGAGCAGGATTTAGCCTCTGTATATAAGTTACCCTTCGGTGATAAATTATTACCCCAGCGGTAGAGTTGCATAGTACCTCCGCCGGTAACAATATGATCAAAAAATTATTGAGATCTGAATTAACTATGCCTTAATCCCGAATTCAAGACTGTTGAATCAAGAGCATTATGAGTTAATCCTTAATCTCTGCAAAGTTGATTGCTTGTTCCATTCTGGATTAATACATAAAATCCCGGAATAACATTAATCCTTATTCCTTAATCTCACCAAAAATTCAATAATCATGTACATGCACACTTGTCCACGTGAAAGCAATGAGTATGAGGATGTGGCAGTTGTTATACTACTGGTCTGAACGTTGCCAACATACATATGTACACTCTCAATAATTTTTTGATGATATTGTTACCGGCGGAGGTACTATGCAACTCTACCGCTCGGGTAATAATTTATCACCGAAGGGTAACATATATACAGAGGCTAAATCCTGCTCCGCCCCCAATGTCAACGCTCAGGTAATAAAAATATTACCGATACGGGAAGCAATTTCTTACCCACAGAAGACAATTTGTTACTATGGTGTTACCACGCGGTAGAACTGCATAGTATCTCCGCCGGTAACAATATTGCCAAAAAATTATTGAGAGTATAGATTAATTCATTAGGTATTAAGCCCCTTCATGATCATCAGAGTCCGGCGATGTATGTACGTATATATATATATACATATTTTAAACGTTTTCAATAACAACCCGATTGAATTGAGACTTTGGTATCTTGCCTGTGGTAATGCATAGGTCATACATACATTCAAAAAAATGTTTTCACAGATATTACATATTTTGAGGTTTTGATTCATATCAATATTTATTATCACATATTTCGGCGATTATGCCAACAGAAATATGCATTTTTTGATACACATTGTTACGCGGAAGGATCCGAGTATGTGGGACATACAAGGATCTATAATTAGGCTGATACGACGACGAGAAAGAGAGAGACGGAGACGAAAGTGGAGATTAGTATTGATTTAGGATAAGTGTGGTGTGGACCACGGTATTAGTTAGTTCTGGTTAAGTTAGGATAAGTAGTCAATAAGTGGAATGGAAATAAAGGAATATTACAAAGAAGAATACCCGAATCCCTTAATTCTCCACCCACCACCGTCGACTATCGCGTAACATGGGGGCTCAACCTTCGGCGAGCCTTCCGGAGGGGACATGCCCAAGGGCGTAGTTTCCTCCGGACCTCGCCTGGAACTCGGATTCTTGGCGCGACGTGTCTACTGTGGTGGGGAACTCTACCTAAGGTTCGGGTATTAAAATTCATATTTCCTTAAATTTCCTTAACACGTAACAATAAATAATTGCCTCAAAATTCGGTTAGATAATATTCGATATGTACAGGTGAGAAGTTTGCATTATTCGGTAATACGAGCAGTTCTGAAAAATAGTACTGGCGGAATTGGGGACGATAGTCTCGCTTTTCATGCCGGTTCGATTGGCAGGAACTAGCTCATTTTTAATTTTATCCTGTGAAGAGGAGGAGGTTGTTCTGGTCCTGGTGGAGAGTTCGATAGTACTGCCCTACCGGTCAGCTGCAGCTAACTCACCTTGGGCGGATTGGTAGCTTATTCGGAAAAATATTTGCCTTCATTGTCGCCCCGTATTTTTTTGTGTGGTTAACTAACTCGAGTAATATTGCATAATAATGCATAACCAAGTGTGTTACTAACTTTTACTGCATTAAAATGAGCAGAGCACGGTTAGGTATTCAGCTTTAACTATCTTAAATTTGGGATACAATTTATTGGCTAATTTTATCATGCATATATAGGTGTACACGGAAATTTCTGAAAAGTTCAGCAAAATTTTGTAATCTCATAATTCATTGTCTTATTTAAAATTAGACTACATATCTCATCCGCCCCATTTTTAGGAATTTATGCTAATAATTTATTAAAAACTTCAGGAAATCATATCAATACGTATGTACGGGTCATATTTCCAAGTCATGCGAGAATAAATTTTTAACGCAGTAAATAGATATTAGTAGATAAATATTCGATGTATGGCCGGGTGCATCTCTATACCCAAAAATAAAACTGAATGTGGCAAGTTAAAAATATATGAGCCGTTTTCCCTGCATAAGCAATTCGACTTTCGAGCAGCAAGAAACCAACATTTAACCCATCTTTGACGTAAATCTCAGCCAAGAAATGCATCACAACCTTCACAGCACACACAAAAATAGATCACCAGTATGCCACCCTAAATAATACGTTATTCGCAAATTCTGTTCTTAAAATTTCTTGAGGTCACCTTGGCAATTTCTATTGTTACGAGGTAGTGCATGTATTTAGTTCCGGAGGTTAGCAGATGTTCTGCCAAATTTATTTTTGTCCATGTCCAGAAAAGGAATTACCTCATGAATTTTTCTGTAAACTTTGGTAGGCTGATAAATTTAGAATTAGCAATCACTCAATACTAGCACCGATACGAAAAAACGTCAGACGAAATAAATAGGTATATGTAGATTTGTAATGTACCAGTAGGTTACAAAGTGGAACGTGATCCGGGATCCGACAACGTCATAAACCGACGAAAGTGGATTTTATTTTTATCCCCAGAAATTATCACTCACTCGTTTCTTCCTTGCACTAAACAAAAGATGAGTAAAGTTGGCAAGGATTTGTCGTTCTTATCGTTCCACTTAGGTACATACATACAGGTATTAGTCTCGGGGTTAATAATGTTCATGCATGCAGTGTGGCAGTGACACTGTAACTGCATTTTGTACGCTATGCCTAGGCCGTACTGATTCTCATTTTCCCACAAATCGTGGTTGAGATGGACGCATTTTTTATAGGACTCAAAATTACTTACAACACATAATCTTGGCTTAGCTCTATCCTAATGCATAACGTCCCTCATCACACGAACGAAAACTTTAATATTTAAGAAGTATGTCGACAATATACTTTTCAGCCACGGTCGTAAACTTCTGGTGTGCATAGGAGACGGGTTTTTTATATGATTACTTTCTCCCGTACACATATCATTCATACACCAAGGCAGCACCGTAGTTTTAATTACATAAAATCGCAATTTCTTCGCATCATCATTTGGTTTAACTGGCGTAAAATTAATTAACAAAAGGGGAATCGCCATAAAAAGTAGGAACAAAATAATCGGAAATTTAGCAATTGGCAATAATGAAAATTTGAAAAAAAAGAATTGGGTTCATACGTTTGAATGCATTTCATAATCTATGTAAGGTCGTGTGGGGTGCACGCACCATATTTTCTGCTAATTAGAATCTGCTGAAATTTGGATAATATAAACTAGATAATTTCTGCATAACAAAACGATAAAAATAAGTAAATGAAAAAAAGTGAAAAGCCACTTTCTCCGGTCACCATTTTTGAATGAGAGATTTTGATTATTCATGCATATATTGGTGACGATATGCAAGCATAATAAAATGGAAAAATAATATAAAAAAGGGACGAGAATCAGTTGCAGTTGTGTGAGAGCTGCAATAGATTAGGAGGAAGCAGAGTTTAAGTCAGACGTGACTTCGGCCAGACGTGGTCAACTTAAAGGAAATACGAGAATTGTACACTGTAGATGGTACAATGTAAAGAACGTCCGGGAATGAATGGGAATGGTCGGAAAATGTGGTCATAAAATCACAATGGGTTATCGGAATTTTAAACTTTTTGCATATGTATAATACCAAATACGTACCTACATAATTTAATTAATAGCTAAGGCCGCCACACCCCCGTTGGCGACTAGTTCGATTTTCTTTAAATTTTTTCCCGAAGTTTTTGCCACTTCCGAGGTGATTTTCTTCCATCGTCCTTTGAATTTTCGAAAGGTGTCAGGCACATCTTGAAGCCGGGAGTATACTGACTTAGAACGTGCCCAGAACTTTTCGATTGGGCGGAGTTGGGGTACATTAGGTGGGTTGATATCTTTTGGTACGAAATCAATATTTTTCTTTCTGAGGTACTCGGTCACTTTCTTTGCATAGTGACAAGTGGCGAGGTCAGGCCAAAACAAAACTTTATCATTTTTGTGAAACCTATTAATAAATGCTTCCAATCCAGCCTTGACGCAATTTTTCAGATAAATATCTTGATTGATATTCCCTTCGAGAACTACCGGGTCTGATACATGTCCGTGACTGGAGATGCATTGCCAAATGCAATATTTCTTTGGAAATTTGTCTTTTTTTCGTACTTTTTCTTCATAAGCCACTTCAGAGGGATCCGAGCTATGAAAAAAATGACGCCCTGGAAGATTTGAAGGGTCAACCGGAACATACGTTTCGTCATCCAGGATCACTACTTTTCCACGCATTTTCTTCAACAATTTTTGACAGCAATCCTTGATCCGACTTTCTTGTACGGGCTTGTAATTTGGTGCAGGTTTTTTGGTCCTTGCTTTGATTCCTAATTTATGGACCTTAATTTCCCCCAGGTAGCTTTTGGAAATTTTGACTTTCCTGGCAGCTACAGCTACTGACGTTGATGGCTTGGTTTTGAAAATTTTTTCAATTCTATTTTTCACTCGAGTGGTCGCTAGCTTCGCCGGACGACCAGCTGGCTTCTTGAATTGCACATTTTCGGAATCCTTGAACTTTTTTATGTAGGAATACACATTTGAACTTGGAATTCCTTCCTGCTTAAAAAAGTTCCAGGTCACCTTGGAGTCTCGGTTGGCTGTCGTGTTGTAGAACTCCATCACTCGTTTTGCTAACAGCTCCCTTTCAAACAAGCTTCTTCTACCCTTATCCATTTTTGAAATTTAAGAGTGATATACCAAATTGACCCTAATGAAGTGGGCTTTCAGAAATTTAAATTATTATAGTTCGCGGGTTTATTGATTTGTCAATATACTCGCTAGAGCGCGCATTCCCATTCATTCCCGGACGTTCTTTAAATACACATTGAAATGCATATTGTAAATTGAGAATGAAAAATGCCTAAGAAAAATGGGCTTAATTCCTGCAGATGAAATTTTGATTCCGCCTATAAAAGGGAGGCGAGGTTGACCTGGTCGCGCCAGGAAAATCAGAAGGGAACTGGTCGCTTCAGTATCTCTTGTCTGATGGGTTTCGTAAGGATTCACAATTGATAAGGAAATTGTGTATGAAACATTCCTCTCATTATTGCAAATTTACTAGATAATACGCCATAAGCAAAAAAAAGAAGCATTTTCAGCATATTTCTTATCTCGTTGTCGTTGTTAAGATTTTCATGAAACACCTGAATACTTAGAAAGATTGAGATTTCACTCATACTCGATTAATAACTTAAAATGGATCCGTATCAAAAGTATTCTTCGGTCAAAGGAATACTTTGGATAAAGGTCACTGTTTTATTCAGTGGGGCTGACCACCTTACTGCATACAAACAAAATCAAAATCTGCACCATTTTAAATTATTTCTTTATATTATAAGAGTTTGACAAAACGGGTTTGACAAAAGTATTGCAAAATCCCGACTCAATAGTTATCACTTGAAGCAAGGTGTATTATGATGGCTCCAGAAATGGGACACGTGTCTTGCTGTTGCCTTAATAACTAATTACATACATACTTATTTATCACAATTCATGAAAACTATGTCCTTTTATATCCCTATCGATACTTAAGAATATTGTGATCACTTCCATCTTCGTAAACTTTGTAAATTTTCGTAAAGTTGGTTAGCAGCGTAAACCGAGTAAATGAAGCTTTTCGTCTAACAAGTGCCTATCAGAAAGTTGTATAAAAATGCACAATGGATGGATAAGGTCACTAGTAATATTTGGTTCAATTTTTTGCCAAGAAATTTTTTTAAATAAGTTGCCCAGAAAAATAAAGGTATCATGGTCATCTCATGGAGCATATGTATATAAATTTAAAAATGAATTTGGTTCAGTTCACATTATAAGGTCACCATGAATTAAGTTAATTGAATATTTTACTTAATACTGGCGTATCATTTTCATCCTACGATTTTAAGAGCAACGTTGGAAATACTCAAAAAATAATGCACCTCATCCAGGCATGGATTTTATTATTTTCGTCACTATCTTCACAATGGGCGGACTCACGTCACCTTCGTCGGACATGCAAAATATTTAAAAAATTAAAGTATGAATCATGGGAAGAAAATTATTGTGACTTTAAACTAAAACTTGAAAATTGGCAGGAAAATATTTCGTTACGTAAGTCGCATCTACATAAATATCGCATATGGTAGGAAATTATAATTTTTTATGAACATATTATTATCCTGACCATTATGCTTTTGAATTAAGAACGAAGTAAAACACGGCGCAAAATAAGTAAGATAATCATGTGCAAACAGAATGACATGGATTATGACCGCAGCAATCTCTTTAAAGTGTTACACAGGGTTCTACGGTACATTACATGCTTAAGTTATGTCAGGTATTCAACTGGTGTCAAGGTTGTAATCTGTGGATTTAATTAAATCGGGCAAATTCTAATAAGCCTAAAAAATTAACACCGAGTTCAATTCTTAATTTTCCATTGGAATTCTTAATTTTATTCTATTTTCAGTTCTTCTGGTATTTTATAAAACAAGACGACACCCTGCGATATCATTGTTTTTATTTAAGAAAATTAATATTTTCTTTTAAATTTCAGTTTCTCTGCTTAGCCGCTTATACAAATTGGTAGAAATTGGTGGCTGGATAAGTTATCTTATTTATTAATTTATCATTTTTGCATGACAATTTCCGAATTTGGTTTTAATCATTGTCGTTCAATTTTACAGCCATATTCTCTTCTCTCTCTTCACTCGCTCAATCTCTTTATTTTCAAATAATAGTAATGTAATTAGTAAAGGTGTATTAATTCGACTTTACAAAATCTTATCAATTTGTTGATGTTGTATAGTTAAATTGTAAAAATGAATTCTTATAGTATTTATGCAAATTTTAAGCAATGCAAATTGTTACATATTAGGTTAATTGCAAATTATTATTGTAATATTAGTGCCTAAATTCTATTCCATGCGGCGTACTTTTTGTGTCATAATTGTGATCTGTTGAGACTATACTTGGTCAAATTATCACTCCAGTCAGAAATATCACATGGAAAATTGTCTTTGGCGTAAACTTGCAATGCTTCTTTGCATTATGTAATCTTGTCTTTAATCCGTTACCAGGTTATAATGTTGAAACAACCATCTACTATTATCCAATATTTGATCTGTCATATCTGATCTGAACTTTTACACAAATGTGGTACGCACATTAATGTTTTATATATGTCGGTACCCTCCACTCCACAATCTATGTTCCAGTATCATGCAAGCTTACGGAATAATGATTTGTATTATAGATCCTTCTGTATTACGTCATCAAAAATTCTCGATTTTACCACCCACCCACCCAACGTAAACATGAAGGGATAGAGGATTCTAACATGGGAAAGATAGGAAGGCCTAAGCCACCCACTAAAATTATGACGTAATATGTGGACGTTCCCTAATGTTGAAATAATTTCAACAACGCTAAAAATTATATTTCTTCACAAAACTCCAATTTGCGCATGTATGGATGTGCGGTCAGTTTGGTATGGTCAATTTGGTACGGGATTATTTGGTATACACTCTAAATAGCAGTTTTGCTAAATTCACCCAAGGTTGAGTGAAAAATAGGATGACACAACAATTGAGTAAAATTTACCCAACCTGTGCAAAATTTAACTACCTGATGGGTAAAATGTATTAAACGGTTGGATAAATTTTACTCAATGGTTGTGTCATCCTCTTTTTCACTCAACCTTGGGCAAATTTAGCACAACCCCTATTTAGAGTGTAAATATGTACAATTTGGCGCATGGATAATTTATTACGGTCAATTAGGTAAATGTTGAAAAAATGACAATTAAAAATATAAAATATTTAGCAGCCAAATCAATTACACTCATACATACACCTTGTGTCGATTAACTCCGTGTACAAAAGTTCAATTAATTGTACAGTGTCGGACAGATGTCTACGTCCACATAGTCGCGTCAATTTCATTTTCAAATTGTCACTGAACTACTGAACCAATTTTCATCATTGATATATCAAATTCTCACAAATTTAACGTAATTTCATAGCACATTATTAGTTTTCCGCTAAAAAATTTATTTTAGGCCAGAGATGTATTTTAATTCAAAATGAAAACAATTGGATGGACAAAAGTCAACGTCCAGTCAGAGAAAACATACTGTAATTTATAAGGAATGTTATAACAATTAATTTTTAATATTTGGTTGGGCCTCCGTTCGCTTTAAGGACGGATTCAAGGCGTCGAGTCATAGAGTTTACCAAATTCTTGGTCACATCTTCAGAAATGGTTTCCCAAACTTCAAGAATTCTGGATTTTAGGCCCGGAATTCCTGAAAAAGATTGTTTTCTTATTTCTCTTTCAATGTGGTCCCACAGATGCTCAATGGGATTCAAGTCTGGAGATTGGGGAGGCCATTCTAGCTTCGAAATTTTTTTTTCTTGAAGTATTCCATGGTGGACTTGGCAGAGTGTTTCGGATCGTTGTCTTGTTGGAAGACAAATCGTCGTCCAAGTCCAAGTTTTCGAACAGATTCCTTGATATTACGGTCAAGTATTCCCTGGTACTTGTATTGGTCCATAATTCCGTCAACAAATTCCATTTTTCCTGCCCCACTTGAAGCCATGCATCCCCACACCATTACCGACCCGCCGCCGTGCTTAACTGTGGGGTTGAGATTTTTTGGATTCAATGCTTCTTTTGGATATCTCCACACTCTACGACGCCCATCTGACCCAAAGACATTGAACTTTGACTCGTCAGTCCATAAAATACTGTCCCAGAATGTTTGTGGCTTGGAAATGTGGTCTCTGGCAAACTTCACTCGTTTGGTTGCATTCCTCGGTACAATAAGAGGGTTCCGGACTGCTCTGTGGGATTTCAAATTTCCCTTGTTCAGTGTTCTTTGGATGGTCCTAGGACTAACTTGTTTGTCGAACATCTCCTTGATCTCGGTAGATAGCTTTGGAGCACTAAGTGAGGGTGTAACGTTGACTTTGTTGAGCACGTGGCGTACTTCTCGGTGAGCCAAAATCGGTTTTCGACCACTTCTGACCTTGTTTTGGACTGAACCATTAGCTCTAAAGTTCTTAATGATTGTCTGGATGGTTGTCCTTGCTAATTTATACTTGGTCCCTATTTGTCTCTGCGACAGCCCCCCTTTTTGTCCACCCTTCCAGTCCTGAATGACAAGATCTCGAATAGCGATAGGAATTTCCTTGCGTGTCGACGCCATCATATTTTTCTGGAAGAAAATTATTTAAAAATTAATGCGGCATATGTTATTGATAGATTTATTAAGTTACCTGATTTTATAAATTGGAGAGATTTTTGTTGTTGACAATTAAAGTGAAGTGGACGTAGACTTTTGTCCGCTCAAATTTCATCCTCTCTCGCTCTGCACTATGATTCTCAGTTTTCCCAGAATTTTCAGAAATAACTCATATGTTTTATGAAATTACGTTAAATTTGTGAGAATTAGATATATCAATGATGAAAATTGGTTCAGTAGTTCAGTGACAATTTGAAAATGAAATTGACGCGACTATGTGGACGTAGAGATCTGTCCGACACTGTAATACAATTTTTTTTCAAATCTGTACCATATCTCAAGCGGAATCCAAAATCTGCGTCGGCGTTAGTAAATTTGGCTGCTATTTTATTTTATCTGTATATTTTTTAAACATTTACCAAACTGACCGGACACCGTACACACCATTTCTGCCTTCTCCACGTAGGATCTCGTGTTTTTGTGGGTGTAACAGCCTTAGAAATCAAAGAACGGTGCTCAAATTTTGAGCACCGTTAAAATATGGTATTCAATAGCATATTTTGACAAAATACGCAATTATATATTTTTATTATGCCTAATTTCCAGGTGATTTCATCCATCTGTTCCTGGCTGCGTGTCAAAGACGTGAAAAACTGTCGCCTCGTCTCCCACGACTGGAACATCGCGGCCAAACCGATCCTCAAGCAGAAAAGTGTTATTAACCTTTCCAGTAAATTTTACGAATCAGATATCGCTCGAAATGAGAGGTTCCGAAGACGTATGGCCTCCTTCGGACAGCCCCACCATGTCCACATTGAGGTCTCCAAGTACTCCAGACTTCACGGCTTGACGAGTACAAATGAACTTAGCAATGTCAACTTTTTCACGAAATTCCTGTCCCCTCAAAAACTCGGGATAACTGCAGAGATTAGTTCGGTGTTAATGGTCCAATTTTTGGAAAAGGTGAGTGCCCCTTAATTCCTACCTGTTCATTTTCATTCATTAATTGAGAAAGAATTTTGTCATAAATTATTCATTCATTACTCAATAAATTTATGAGCAAATAATGTTTCAAGATTTTTTAATAAATGGGTACTAAATAAGTATTTATTTATTTCATGAAGAATGAATGAATACTTTTCTTCGTTATTCATTTTTCATTGCTCATATTTTTTTTAGAAATGATAGAATGATAAATTAATAGAAATTTATGATGAATATATTCCTATCTCCAAATATTGAAGATTTAAATAAATAATTTATGAATAATTTTTCTAAATTTTTAAATTGAATTAATTTTGAATGAATAAATCCTTTTTTGAACAGATCCTCCTCAATTCGTCTTCCAACTTGGTCCAAGTCGAGTTAGGTCTGGATGTCGATGACGATTTAATTAGAGGGGACGATCCTTTAAGAGAATTTTTCAACGGGGCGGAATTTCCCAGAGTGAAAAGGCTGGACCTGCCATTTTCCAGGGTAAATTGGTCACTCGGGAAGGTTAAGGTGCCACAAATTGTGGCCGCTTTTCCGAACATTACAGAACTCCGGGTTGATTCCGACCTCCTGCCAGTTCTGTTTGTGGAGGGGGGTTCATCCCCAAGGTAGGTTACATATCTTCAATATTAACCTCACCTTGACCAAGTTCTCTAGAAATTAATTATTGATGTCATAACTACAGATTGGTGATACCAACCAATTACTTAAATTTCTATCATGTACTTAAAACACAAACGTAAAATTTTACACATTGTTTCCTATTTCTTGATTTTTTTTACAAAAACAAAAAATCAAGTTTGTATCGTCTCATTCCTAAGGTCGGGGATAAAAATACTGATTTTTTCGATACACGACGGATTTTTTTCTCTCTTAAGGACAAGTTTAAAAACGTCAAACGTTCTCTTTGCCATAAAATCCAGTACTACCAGATTTCATCGCCTCCTTGCAATAAGGATTCATACACTTACGCCCCAGCTTTCAGACTTACATAACGTGATGCGTAGTCAATAGAATAGGTACATAGGTCTAAAAGCTGCGGCGACAGCTTACATATGTACGAATGAATCCAGGGGACTAGGTGGAAATCGTTTTACTACAAGATTATGAAAAGAAACTAAATAGAGTTTCATTCCAATACCAAGAGGTCAAAATGAGGTTTAAAAATGGTAAAATTTTAATTTAACATATCTACCCCTTTTTTGCCAGATTCTTGTCCAAGTTGTGGATCACTGGTGGCATGTCGGGCTACAAGTGTAACGCCATACTGCATTTAACCCAGCCCCTTAAGCACCTCCACATCGAGGAAGCCTTCGATCCATCCGTACACCATTGGAAACCTGGTCACGACACCGACATCTCGCCCTCTTTGTACGCCGTCCTCTCTAAAAACTGCCACACCTTGGAATATCTCGACCTCGGCCTGGCCGAACTGCGGGAAGACTCTGAAACCTGGAAATTTCCAAGTTTTCCTAACCTCAAACGATTAAACGTCATGAAGGGATTCTATTCGAATGACAACCATGCTGTTCGTTTCGATTCGGAAATTTTAAACTATTCAGAAACATTTCCGAAGCTGGAGGAGTTGCAGTTCTCTCCATGGGAGGGCGATTGGACGCCCTATTTCCAGTCCTTCTTTCCAGCGGGGAAACACATTTGCGCAAGCGTGACACGACTCCACATTTCGGACGGGAAGGAACACGCCAATTTTATTGAGATGTTTAGAGAACGGGACCAGGGAAAAATTAACGCCAGATTTGTCCGAATTCTAAATTTGTTTCCAAATGCGGACAACCTTTTCATGCAGGAATTGAAAAGTTATTTAGTAAAGAAGGGACACATTCTGAAACCAAGGAGTAACAATAATCGAAACCGGAAGTTCGGGAGCCAAACGAGAGCGATGACGAAAAAGAAGATGGGTTCTTCGTATAATTTTTACAGTTTGTAGCGCTGATTTTTGTGAGTGAAACCAACGGAACCAATAATTAGGTTCGACTACGTCCCCCTTTTTACTCAACCTTTAATAAATTTTATCTGTTTATGTAACATTATTTTGGAGTAACAATAATCAAAACCGGAAGTTCTTGAGGCACCAAAAATTGATTTATGTAGTCAAGATTAGCACAGTTTTTAGAGCTGACCCAGCGTTTTCGCGAACTTACGGCGCTTATAATTATTTTTTCGCATCTGGTCAAGAACCGCATTCAATTATTGTTTCTCTAAAGTGTTGTTCTTTCAAAGTAACCTAGTCAAAAAAATATCTGGCTTGAACATGGTTTGCATCCCTATTCAATTATTACCTTTACTCTTTATTGAGGTAACATTTTGCATGGTTCGCTTTTTAAGAGTTGCTTTTACTTTAGAGTTGCTTCTACTATAGACTTACAGGACTGAAAAGTTAGTGAAAAGCTTACAATTAGCGTTAATATTGACTGAAATAAATTTTACAAATTTCGAATTAAGATTGTTTGTTACCTGTATAAAAAACAGATTCGAAATTAATTTGATTAATGCATTTTAATCAATTCTAATGTATGTATTAACATTTTTAGTTATTTAGTAACTCAAACCTTTTCTTGTTGTTCTTTGTTAAAAATTTCAATTGTTTTTGTCTATTCAGCAATTTTAAAGTGAAACGCGAATTATTGTCTAGATACGTATTTATATGCAAACAATTATTTATGGTAAATACATTAACAATTTCTAGCGAGGAATTAAATAAAGGGCGTCTCATATGTAAAGTGCAAATGGAAAAATGACTCTTATTTTATTGTAATTCAATTCTCTTGGTAAAAAAAAATTTGCATACACATTAATATGTTTTTACATGTGTCGACTATTTTGTCAAAAATATATATATTTTATAAACATAAATATTTTTTGGTTACATATTTCAGCGATTTTAGCAAAAATATATATTCTTGCATTCGACGCGTTTGACTATAAAGAAAATTGCCTATGTATTGCCCTCACTTAACCAAAACTACAACCTGGGACATCTTCATGGAAAAATGGGAACTCAACACACAAAATAAATTTTAGAGTTTTCATGAAAAATTCATATGTATCCAGTGTATTTATATATGCGTGAATACACATTTGCATGAAAAATACTTTGTTCACTTTCTCCGTTGTAGTTTTTCACCACCACGGCAAGCATCAACAACACGTTTTGTTCCACACTTCACACTTGCATCGGTAAAAGTCAATATTTAAAAAAAATATTTGAAAAAATTACGGAACGATTTGTTTCATTATCGTCATCACAATAAAAGAATAACAACACAACCAGCTGCATAAACTGGGCAGGATATATGTTCCGTAAGTTAATTGTACAGAAACATTTATTTCTTTAAAAATTAGGTCCATTGTAATTTTTTCAAATTTTGCCTAAAATACATCAATCGTTAAAACGTTTAATTTTAACGTACACATTTTTTTCAATTTGAAAAAATGTGAATATATGTAATAATCAATTAAACAAGGTATTTATCCTCTGATTTTTGGAATTTAGTCAGAATGTTTAGTGCCGTGAGAATTATTGGGTTTAAAACGGTACAATATTGAAATTTTCATTTAAATTGGTTCCTAAACTTTCTGATCATGCTTTGCGTCCGTAAAAAACTTTTAGAGAGTATGTAAAGCTCATATTTTTAGTTCACTTTGGCAAATTTTGTGGTAAATTACCACAAAAATTACCACTGATAATGATATTTACATAGTCAATCAATTCGAAAAGTTGTGTAATACTTTGCGAAAGGTGTCTTTACGACAAATGTTTCGCAATGTTATTTTGCTATTCGAACTTGTCATAACGATTCAATTCCTCTACTCACTGTGTATTTTATGTAATTTTCAGATACAAATAGACGAACCAAAAACCACACGGAAAACTCACTAAACCGGATTTTAAATAAAAATATGCCACAAAAGCGGAAATTCATCAAAAAACCAAACCCACATGGTCTCCAAAATCTTCCCACCCTTAACGCAGATGTAAGATCAAATCACATACTGTAAATACAGCAAAATCGGACAAGTTTTTCTAACTTGATATTTGTCAGATATATATTCGTCAAAATATAAAACACATTTTGATCATCGATCTTCAAAAGGGCCCGTGTTACACCCACAGAAAGTCGAAAATCTAGATATGCACATCGAAAACGCAGCACTTATACGAAAATACTAGTTTTGTCATGAAGTTAACTTCTCACAAGTGTTACAGAGGGGTGGGACAGAAGAAGGAGCCACTTTGCCTAAATTTATTCCGGCCTTATTATTCGTTTGTGAAGTTTGGTAATTGGTTCAGTGTGAAGCCCTTTAGTTTATCTGACGAGCCTCAGTCGCTTTTTCCAACCAGTCATGACCTTTGACACAATTTTCAGAGTGATTCTGCACCACTCGTCCTGAACACTTTTCCAAAGTGCATCAAAACGCACGCGTTTTCCTTTCAAGAAGGCTCTGTTTTAAGTACTCGAATCCAAAAAAAAACATCGGATTGATATCAGAGGAACTAACGAGAGTTTCTATAGTAGGAATAATTGTTATACCCAAACTTTTTTTAAAATCCTTCGTGTAGGCTGATATTTTGTGAGAAATAAGTTGGGATGAGAGCATGATCTCGGGATTTCCTACCAGTCACTTGCTGTAGGTCATTGTGAATGACTCTAGAAATGTTCTCCTACTAACGTTTAACATTTTCGCCATGCAACTTTTAGTTGGTGGATTTACCGTTTTGGCGAAAAATTGATTTTCCGGATAAACTTTTTGGTTCAAGCGGATCTTGGGTATCCTTTCCGTGGGGGTGGAGCTCTAACCGCTTTTTCCCTCCGCTTGATTCCAACGTTTTTAAGTACATTAGAAACGTACTTTCGATCGACGATAAATCCATTTGCAGCAAATTTTCTAACAATCGCTCTCTGGCTCAGTATGTCTTTGGAAAACACTTTTATGCGTGCCTCGCACTCTGGGGGGTGCTGCAGGGGCATTTTTAACCGTAGGGAAAATCTGAATAGTGCTAAATTTTCGTTAACTATCTGGGTATGACATATGCAAATTTTGAAAATGCCGCGACTGTGCATCACACGCCACCCCTAAAATTCAAATGGCTCCTTCTTCTGTCCCACCCCTGTAAAATATTGCTAAAAATGTTGAAAAAGAATGTATTTCGACACGGATAAAAATTTCATTTCTTGTGAAACTCAGTTTTCGTACGACTGTTGCTTTTTCGACGTAGATTTTCGTCCTTTTATGGGTGTACTGTTAATAATAAACTCTGTGCGGTGGCAAAAAGGAGATGGGCGATCCATGAAAAGGTCACCCACACAGCACGTAACAAAAAAACTTTTAAACTTTGTCAGTATTTAGAAAAAAATAATAGAAAATTATTTTTCCTATAAAATTTTTCGATACTTCACCTTTGTGACCTGTTATTAAGGGTGAAACTGATTAATTTGAATACTTTTGTTTGCTTGTGTGCATAATAAGTTGATAACGATTTAGTCGAATTTAATGAGGGATTGGGTTTATTGCGCTGGGAATTGAAAGTTGACAAGGTGTACCATACATATGTAAGTGTGCCAATTTTTTTTAAACTCGATCACCACAAACAATGCAGAAAACAAGGGATTTCTGTGGAACTAGATTTCGGGGTAGCGGAGGAGAAGAGGCGTGATTTGGCGATCGCGCCGCGCAGGGCTACAATAATAAAATATTATTTAACACCAGTTTATTTTTATTTTGACGTACAACTTGGACAAAATTGAATGACTTTTACGTCCAAATAGAAATAAACTGGTGTTAAATAATATTTCGTGTAGCCCTCCGCGCTCCCAACCAAATAACCTTGTTTCCTCCGCAAGTCCTAAATCTAGTTCCACCGAAATCCCTAATTTTCTGCATTGTTTGTGGTGATTGAGTTTAAAAAAATTGACACACACATGGGACATGTTGTCAACTTTCAATTCCCAGCTCGATAAACCCAAACTCTCGCTGGATTAAGGTACTAATTTTTTTGTTACGTGGTATCTGGGTGACCTTTTTATGGATCGCCCATCTCCTTTTTGCCACCGCACAGAGTTTATTATTAACAGTAAGTATGCTCAAAATACTCAATTTTGATAAGGTATTTTGATAATCACTGATATTTAATTATGCAAAAACGTTCATAAAGTTCGTAAGACAAATTTTTCGAATTTTTTGCCCCTCCCTTCTATTCGTCGTTTTTTTACGTATTTTGAGAACGTTCCCTACATAATTTAATCGATAACTTCCAGGTAATTTCCTCCATCTGTTCCTGGCTGGGTCTCCGCGACGTGAAAAACTGTCGCCTCGTCTGCCACGACTGGAACATCGCGGCCAAACCGATCCTCAAGAAAAAAAGTGTTATTAACCTTACCTGTAACTTTTGGGAATCAGACTTCGCTCGAAATGACAAGTTCCAAAGCGACATGGCCTCCTTCGGACGGCTTCACCATGTCCACCTTGAGATGGGAAACCACTCCATGGTTAATTACCGCTGGCTTAGAGATCCAGATTATGTCAGTGATGCCAAGTTTTTCACGAATTACCTGTTCCCTCGAAAACTCGGGATAACTGCGAAAATTACCTCGGTCAAGATGTCCCAATTTTTGGAAATTGTTCTCCTCTCGTGTTCCAACTTGGTCCAAGTCGAGTTAGGTCTGCATATTGAAGAAGACATGATAAAGAAAAAAGGGGACGATCTCCAAGGATTTCGTACAGGATTTTGTGAGGGGAAGGTGTTCAACAAAGTTAAGCGGTTGGATCTGCCATTTTCCCCGGTAAATTGATATCTCGGGAAGGTTAAGGTGCCACAATTTTTGGCCGCTTTTCCAAACATTGAAGAACTCAGGGTTGATGCGGACATGCTGCCGGTTCTGTTTGTGAAGGGGGGTTCATCTCCAAGGTAGGTTACACTTTTGATAAATATTAACCTCACGGTGACCATACTTTTCGGACTAGGAATTAATTCTAGTCTGATACTGATGTCTTTTAAGGGATATGTGTGGTGGCAAAGAATTGGTTAAATTTGCATTATTTTTTACCAAAAATGTTATATCTTACAAACAGTTTTAAATTTCTTAAATTTTTGACGACGAAACGTATAATGAACCTGCCTAGAATCAGGGGCCGTTCATGAATTATGTCACACAAGGAGTGAAGGGGCGGGCGGTGGGGGGGGGAGATTTAAAGATCCACCGATTGCATGACATTATGTGACACATAGTAAAGAGAGGGAGCTAGGAAGAGAATATCCCAATTTTTCCTTGCATAATTTATGAACCTCCCCCTCCCCTCAGACAAATTCCAAAACTTTGCAAGAAAAATATCAAATAAAGAATATTTTTTCAACAAAATACCAAACAAATTGTCCCAGTTTTGAGATGCATTGATTTTTGTTGAACCACGAATTTGGTCATAATTAGGTTAATACATGCATAACCGTCAAAGTTTTGTTACTAAATATAATTCCACAGCAATCTTTTCCTTCTGTTTTTTAGATTCTTGTCCAAATTGTGGGTCATGCGTGGCATGTCTGGCTCCATGTGTGCCGCCTTACTCAACTTGACCCAGCCCCTTAATTACCTCCACATCGAGGAAGCCTTCGACCCTGACAGCCAAGACTGGAAAAACGGTCACGATACCGACGTCTCCTCCTCTTTGTATGCCGTCCTCTCCAGAAATCGCCACACTCTAGAATATCTCGACCTCGGCCTGGCCCAATTACGGGAGGGCAGTGAACCCTGGAAATTTCCAAGTTTTCCTAACCTCAAACGATTAAACATCTTGAAGGGATTCGATTCGCATGACGACCATGGTGTTCTTTTCGATTCGGAAATTTTAGACTATTCAGAAACCTTTCCGAAGCTGGAAGAGTTACAGTTCACACCGTGGGAGGGCAATTGGACGCGCTATTTCCAGTCCTTCTTTCCCCCAGGGAAAAAAATTTGCGCAAGCCTGACCTGACTCGACATTTCGGACGGGAAGAAATATCTTAATATTATCGGGATTCCCGAATCGGGAACTTTTATCGGGAAGTTTTACCGGGAAGTTTTATCGACATGTTTAGGGAACGGGACGAGGGGAAAATTGATGCCAGGTTTGCCCGAATTTTGAACCTGTTTCCGAATGCGGACAACCTTTTCATGCAGGAATTGAGAAGTTATTTGGTAAAGAAGGGACACATTCAGAAACAAAAGAGTAAAAATAATCAAAACCGGAAGTTCGGGAAACGCAAAACGAGATCCATGACAAAAAAGGAAATGGGTTTTTGGTAAAATTTGGACAGTTTTTAACGCTGATATTTTTGAGTAGAACCAATAATTTGGTTCAACTCCATCCATCTTTTTACTCAACTTTTAGTAAATTTTATTTGTCTAACATTATTTTTAAGAGTGTCGATTTTTCGGAACTGAGAAGTAAGTGTGGTCTAATTTAGCAATTTTTCATTTCAGTATTTGTTATGAATCTTAAATTCAGATTGTAACATATTTAAAAAAAATTATTTAATTAGAAATTAATTTTGCTAATGTGTCAAGTGTTTTTATTGGTTTTACAATTTTTAGGGAGAAAAGTGCAAGGAAACTTATATAAACGATGGATTGGTAACTATTGAAAGAATAAATATACGAGCAGTTATGTACATAAACGTCTGAAATTTCAAGCAAATCACCAATACGCAAAAAAATGATGCAAAAATTTGCCAATTTTCTTACAAATGGCTTAAATCTACAAAATTTCGCTTTTAACTTATCCGATGTTGAATTGCTTAATTCACCAATTATACATATGTACATATGACCGTTTTCGCTGTTATTTTAGCTTCATCAGGCGTATTGGTTTTTGAGAATTGTTGGAATTTTTATTGGTTGGTTTACAAGTTTATATATTTGTTGAATTTCACAATAAAACTCTGTATGAAACACAATTTATAAATTAAATGACCAGATTTACATACTTACACAAATTTTAATTATTGCGAGAAAATGGCGAAATTTATTTTCTAAAATTGAAATTCCTGCACGTCCACTCCGATTCTGCATTCTGCATATAACAAAACGGTAATAAATCAGGTAACAAAAACGAGAATTAACTCTACAATTCCGGAATTGTTACCACTTTTGGGGAATCACACCCCTCGACAAGATCAACACTCTGTTAATAATTTCTGGCTACAATAAATTAATTTTAAAATTCTGGACAACAACCTTGTTTCGTAGATTCGTTTCCAATTTTTAATTTCAATTTTTGATTTATCAATGATTTTCCACTCTATATTTACCAAGTTTCTAAGCCTCACGAAAACTTGGAACTCATCGAAATTAGGACAAAAAACGCTATTCAACTTCCCGACTAAAAATCGTTCGTCCAAAATTGTAAGATAAATTCTGCGCTTTGAAAGGGTTAAAATTTTTATGTAATTCCCCAGAAAAACAACAGTTCATTATTCATCAATTTATCGAGAATAAATTTGTTTTTGTTAAAATGTTTAAAACCTTGACCTCCATAATATGCAATTCGACAATCGTATCAATATCGTAAATTATATTCAAGTACCTAATTTATGATGTAATATATTTATGTAAGAGGGCGACTCAGTAATTTTGAATTTCGTTAAGTTAGTAACTTATGTAAGTATATTGTTACTAACTTAAGGTGGTATAGTATGCGGGTTTTGAGTTTGAATTGTTGAGTCTCAACTTTCCCTTCCTCCATATATTCAAATGGCGATTTTGAAACCTGATCATTTCCGTGAGTTTTTTACAATATGAAGATTTTAATGCACCTAAAAATCGATAATTGTTAGGTTTACAAAGTTAGGCTGGTGTGAGGTTGATTTTTTTCTTCCATGGGAAAATATTTAAGTTTTACTGATTATTTTTCGTCTATTTTATATTTATTTTCTCATGGAAGAAAAAAAAATCAACCTCACACCAGCCTAACTTTGTAAACCTAAAAATTATCGATTTTTAGGTGCATTAAAATCTTCATATTGTAAAAAACTCACGGAAATGATCAGGTTTCAAAATCGCCATTTCAATATATGGAAGAAGGGAAAGTTGAGACTCAACAATTCAAACTCAAAACCCGCATACTATACCACCTTAAACTTCTCTATGATTATAAACCTCAAATAGGTAAATTTACATGTTTACGAACTTTGGGTGGTTGACAGCAAATTTATATTTTTATCAACTTTAAACTCATTGGCTTCCTATCAAGGTAAAAAAATTATGACATTCCCATCCCTCTCAAAAAATACGTTGTGTTAAAAATATTATTTTAAACTTGCGAGATTAGATAAGTATTGTTGTTGCATAACTGTAGGAGTTGCACAGTAATATATCGCGTTACAGTAATAAATATGCTTTGCTACCAGAATATACATACATCGTTTACTTATTAAACTTCTGTAATATTTGATTAAATACCTATATGGGGGTGTGGTCGGGGCAAAATGAGATTTTTACAAAAATTGAATGTCTAGATAAAATTAAGTGAAATTGAATGTTTTCGTGATGTCGTGGGAGTGGTTGGGATGAAGTAGTCTGAAGCTACTTCCATATGTGCGTTTACGACGGTTTATTTAGACCGCATTGGTTCCATATGGCCAGGGGAACCGATAACTCACAAACTTCGGACCTTGTCTGTATTGCAAATAATTTTAAATTTCATCAGAAAAACAGATATTAATACACTTTTACAAAATATGGCCAACCCCGAACCAGAAATTTCCGAATTTTTTGGTGCTTTCCTCGTCTACTCGGAAATAATGGAAAAGTCGTTTCTCTTTGGGAAATTCCCCTTCCACTGGGATCCCATTAAGGGTAGGCTCCTTCTAGATTTTCATTTTTCCAGAGATTACAAATCCTTGGTAAAAACTGGCATTTTTTTGGTGACCACACTATTCCCCGGAATTGTAGTTTTCCTGCGATCTTTACACAATAAATTACAACTTTCTCCTCATTTCGAAGACTACTTTGCGTCGGACGGTGTTATGATTGCGTATCTCGTCATGTTGGTAGTGTTACTAGGGGATTTTGCATTATTTATGGTCGTAATTTTGTTCTGGAAAAGTTACACCGAGGGGGAAATCGAGCGATCATTTTGCATGTTTCGACAACTATCGAAGGGTAAATTTTTATCTTGAAATTTATGTCTTTACATAAGTAAGTTTAATTGAAACTTAATTTCTACTTTATCAGTTCGTCCCAAACAAGAAAACGGTGTTCACATAAGCACCAGGCTCATCAAATTTGCCAAGCTGGTTGTACATTTCTACGCCCAGCTTCCCCTCACCTTTACCCTATTTTGCATACCTTTCAACTTGGACCCGATGTACTACTCAATGTTCGAGATGCAGTTGGACCCCAACAATCTGACCAACATGCTTGTCCGAACCGTTCTTTTTGTCGTCTCATGCGTCGAAGTGTGTCGACTAATCGCCCTATTGATTTGTTTGGTTTTATTCGCAATTAATTTGGGACAAAGGGAGACCTTCATGTGGACCAACATCGCGAAACGAAGCAACCTCGGGGGACTCTACTTTTACAGACAGATCGCAATTTTATACACCTTCCGGAGAGGACCAACCACAATTATGCTCAGTCTAACAATGATTGTGGGTTTCGTTACCGAGGTAAATTGGAAATAATTCGTGTCAGACGAACATCACAGCAAAGACTTTTTAAGGTTCGTTTAACAATAATTTTTAACAGTTTTTATTTAAAAGTGGCGTCAGGCGTTTGGAAATATTGACCTCGAAAACGCACAGGGTAATCAAGTAGTTCTGCGTCGAAATTTCTGAAATAGTCGCCTAATTTTATGTTTAAAATGAAACCAAACCCTTAAATTCTTGATCTTGACCTTCACGATGGGTTGATCGAAGGTAAAAAAAACATCGGTTTGGAATTCGAGGTGACATTTCTTTTAAAATGAAGGCGTCAATGAAAAAAAATTGAAGTTAAATTTAATTCTGGACCATACCCCCTCGTGCCGTGTGTCTGTGGGGGGGGGGGGTATTCGGATTGACCCCACTATCAAGAATTAAAAATTTGAGAAACAATGGCGAAAAATGCTTTTGACTATAGTAAATGGTAACATAACGCGGCTGACGCCACTTCATAAATGCCCATTTTTTAAATCGGGAACCATTCTATGAACCATAAAAATTAGAAAAATCGTGTAAAATTCATACATAAATAAGTAAATATTTGCCCCTTCTTACAGGTTATATTCAACTATGCGACGGTTGTAACGTATGGTATTTTTCCAGTCTCGGTATACCTTTTTCTACCATACGTTGCACTTCTTGTGCGGACGATTACCACGCAAATTGTTGACATTGCTGCCCAAATACATGAGGACTTTGACTCTTCGTTGGCAATTATGAGGAGAAAATGTCTCGCGAGGAAATCCTACATGTATCGAAAATTTAGGGCGTCGCCGAACCTGGGTTTTCGGATACTGTTAGGCGCCAGCCCTTATTTGGTTAAAAGAAGTTGGAAAATTAATTACCGCTCAACAGTCCTTTCCTATACGGTGTCACTTATCATGGCCGCCCAGTAAAAAAAGTCATCATCGTGGTCCAAATATTCTGTAATGCTGATCCAGTTAAACTCCGATGCATACATACGTGACTTAATTTTATAACTCGCTGGGATTAAACTACACGCATTTGGGGAATGGTTTATTCGAATTTTATTAATTTCATACGTATTTATTACACCCTGAATAAAATACAAAACATTTAGAAAATATTAATATTATAAGCAAGACAAATATATGTATTTATCGTGCGTTTCACACTAAATACAAACTTACGTGTATATTTTTGGGTGGCGATATATTTATATGCAAACGTATTTAATTCATTGTTGACGTAGTGTCCTTGTGGCTGGGCTCGTAATTGGACAAAATTTTGAACATGCATTTTTTCTACAATTTCTGAATTTAATTACACACATTTTTAGTATCCGTCTCGATTGGAACCACATAGCCCTTCTATTCATAACTACAACTTCCATCAAGAAAGAAACCATGGGAACTCCAATGCAAATTAGGAGCAGATAGAAGACAGTAACAATATTATCACTGATCGCCAAGGTCTTGACTCTCGCTTTGTTGTAGACACGAGATTTATTTCTCTCACTCGAGTGTATCTTCAAAACCTGATTAAACTCGTGGATCTCCCTCCATTTTGAAGCCAGTCCGGATTCAATTAAGCCAAACATTCTTAAAATTGCTGGACGTCCCCAAAATCCACGTATCGCAAACCGAACACTATTAGTAAAAACGGGATCCGTCCCGGTAAAGATTTGTTTCTCTGGGTATCTCTTATTATATAGCGTTCTTATTTGTCTAACTTCGCTATCCCAGCCCATGAAACTTGTCTCATTGCACCCTTCTATTGCACTCAAGATGGATAAGAGCGGTGTCGATACCTGAAATGATGGTAGAACTCGGAGATATTTGGTTAGCTTAAAAGCTATGTTCATTTCTTTGGATGTAATGTTGTCCCCGATTTGGGTCACGCACAATTCATAAAGCTTTAACTTTAATCTGATGCCAAGTTCGGTTATACGGACTGAACGCGAAAAGCTTGTATTGTCATAAGTAGACCACGAGCTGTCAAAAGTTAGGTACTGGAACTTATCATAATGTCTTTTTGATATAGAGACGCAGGGGCTGCCTGGAGTAACTTGGTAAGGGCCTGAATTCGTTACAGTTTCCAGCATATTCCGGAACGCTACATATCGCTCTATATCGTCGCCAAATATCATATCAGCTCGTAACTGACCTGTACATCTTGGTAACAAGCTCTTATTTTGATAAGTTTGAAAAATATCTTCATTCCACGCAGATGATGAGGGATTACGGAGAAAATTGAAGTCACCATTTGAACAATAGCTTTTTAAACTATATTGAATGTTAGACTCTTCTTTTGAACTCAATCTCGAGTAAATTTTAATTTCGGATTTCATCAGCTCAGATATTGTAGTGGGGCCTGAGATTTTGAGCGGGGATGTCAACTCATAAATATTATTCCCTCTATATCCATTACTTAGTATGACTCCCATTACGAACCACACCCCTAACATAATTCTTATCGCAATACGTTGTAAACCCTTCCGATCAGGTTGTGCACACACATTCTCTATACCTTGTTCTAACAAAACTCTGTACGGCCAATCCCAATTACCTCTCTGCCATCTTGTTTCATTCGATAATGTTAGATTTAAACCTAACCACAGAACAGTTGAAGATAGAACACAAGGTATAAAGGCTAAACTCCATGATATTTCATCATACATGGAAACGTAAGCTTGAAAGTTGTAGCTTGCGATGCTAGAACCGGAACATGTTAGGAAAGTAAACCCTTGTCGATCCAAAGCTGAGTAACTACTGTCGAGGTCATCTTCATAATTGGCTATAACAGTTGGTTCACTGGAATAGTAGATTGGGTCCCACCACCTACTGTTAAATGTTGTGTTTGGAACAAATAATGCAATTACAAAATATTGGTAGTTGATCTTTACATCATAGTTTCGAGGTGAGAGGGTTTGTAACCATTGCATAAGTGATAGTCCCCTAATCCTATTATAACCTAAGTGTCCTAAAATTTCTTCGTTAATTGCCTAACTTGTCTCTCTTGCCATTGAGAGCTTGCAATCCCCTATAACCTTAAAATCGATGCTGGCTAATTGCTTCCATCTTAGTTCAATACTCGCGTTAAAATAGTAATCATAAATGTCGCAAACGAAATATTTTTGATAGATTGGTAGTAATTCCTCCGCACTAGAAACGTTGCTGGTTTGGTTACCAAGAAAGAAAACAAACTTATCCGTTATTAATCTGTTGGTTGTTCGTCGTACAATTTCTAACCAAGCGTCCATGGTTTTTAATGGAAATCGAGAAGGATCAGCACCACGCAAGACTAACATACTATATTGCCCTGTGTACGTAGAAAACATTCCATTCTTGTAGGAACATATGGCTGGACAAGAGTTTGAACCATCCCACCCACTGGCCTGGTTTTGATACCAGAAATTCATTCGTGAGAAGGCATGATCAGATCTTAGCGGTACTAATTGGGTAACATTAGGTTCTACATAAATATGGATGAAGCAATTGTAATTCACGTTAAAACAAGGCATAATTGTAACGTTAATGGGATGGTTCGCTGAATAGAAAGTGAGCACGACTGGACTTGATGGATGAAGGTAATTAACGCGGTGATAGGTTAAGATGTGAATAGCACAGTGAGAAAAAGGATTAAGAATTTCTTGATTAAAGTTTGAAATTGTGAACGATAATTCAACTTTTAAATTTAGACAAATTAAAAACATAGTAATTGGGGTAAGTTGAAGGACTCTTCGGGAAGTTAGGATTGCCATCTGTGCTACCTATGTATGGAATATTTGCTTAGACGTTAATCTCCGGTTCAGCTTGATGAGTAAATATAAAGACGAGCTAAAAGGGGTAGAATAAACTCTAGCAGGATTCGATTTTGTGCACGTTCAGTGTAGTTTATTACATCGTTAAAAGTATACTATTACCCCTATGACAGCGATGATACGCAAAAGTCGTTTTCTAATTAAAGTGACTACATGTTTTACAGGCACTCTAAACCGATAATAGTTGTTTTGTTTGTCATGAAGTGTTGTTTAAAGTTTCTATTCCTTAAAGTCTGGTCTCAAGACATGCAATGCTTTTAGCGTAATGAGGAAGTTACATGAAGGCAACATATAGCGGTTATGAACATGTGATAGAAATTGGGAAGTTGTTGTTCGCTTGAAAAATAAACTAAAGTTTGTCCATGCCTAAAATTATTAAATATATCAGACATCATGTCACACCTTTACGGGCTCCTCATATTGAATAAGCCTTTTGTACATAGATCTCGTAAATGCTCCAAAACATGCAAATGAGGTGAAAAGCCGGATTAATTCTACTAAACTGTACGCTTTCATCAAGAAAAACGCTTTGGTATTAATTATGTTAACACGAAACCTCAAATACCCTTTTTGTCAACACGAAAATTCTTATCGTATTAAAACTGTCCTACTTATCAAATCCCAATTGGTTCCGCCCTCGAAAACTGTCGAATTGTTAAGAAATTGAAATAAGATAATGCTTTAATGATATCGGCAATCGTACCTGTGACACATCTTAAATGGGGGAGGGGGTCAAGAAAAAGGCGATAAATTTGTGCGTTGCTTACTTTATGAACGTCCCCTTATTCGACAGGCAGGCACAAATTTTGAAAAGATTGGTAAATGTGATACATTCAATCGGCCAACTTTCATATATTACGTCATCAAAAAGTTGGGTGGGAGGTTTTGGGTCGCTTTACTAAGGAAACGGGTTGGTGTACAAAAACCACGATGACGTAATACGTGGATGTTCTCCATGCCGTTCCCTTCTTAAATAGGAATGAAGAATTTGGATTTGAGGATATTTACTTACTGTTTACTGTTTACTGTTTACTGTTTACTGTTTACTGTTTACTGTAGTTTATTCAAGTGTCGCGAATCATCAGTTATACACTGATTTTCAGATCAAGACACAATAATAAAAATTTGTACTAATCTACAATATAACTATACGATTATATATAAGTATGTTGTCATCAATATTATAATTATAAATTGCTAACATCTGGTCCATTCTGATTCATTTGACCAGTTACAAACTCACGTGCATTTGATTGAAACAATCCGTAGGACATGTTGCATAATTCCCAGTTTTTAGGTAAAGTATTCCATAAACAGTATCTTCTAAACAATGTTGAACGCTTAAATACTTCTGTTCTATGGGTCGGGGCGCACATATTCGGGCGCTTGTTGTTCAGCGTTCTCTCGGAGAAAATTAATTTGTTACTTTTGTACATCTTATACGCGTTCTTTAATAGTACGTATTTCGATCTCTGTTCAACCGTAAGCATTTTGTTATCATTCCTGATTTTTTGAATATCGATATTTTTTCGCAAACTTTTTAGAGTGATTTTCTTAGTTGATCGTAATTTCGCAAGCTTAGGATAATAATAACTTAAGAGGAAGTTGTCAATGACATCCTGAATCTTGCCAAGTGACAGGGATGTCTGTACCGTCCATATGTCAATACAGTAATCAATAACCGAATGTACTTGAGTGTTAATTATTACACGCATTGCCTGCTCGCTTATTGAGCGTTTAAGACCATGCAGGATTTTTATCCGTTGACAAACTTTTGAAAATACAGTTTCATAATGTAATTTAAAATTTAAACTAGGGTCAAGAGTTATTCCTAGATATTTAAACGACATAACTCGCTCTATTGTGTGATCGTTAACAATTATCGGTTTAACATCGCTCTTTATCGGTACTCTTTCATTGTGGAAGTACATACACTTAGTTTCGCCATAATTAATATTCAGATTATTTTCAATACACCACTCACTAAATTTGTTAAAGCAGTTTTGTAGTTCTTGTACAATGTAATCAATGTTATCTGATCCTACATAAATTATGACGTCATCTGCATAGCATAAAAAGTTAATAACAATGGCTAATTTTACATCATTTAAAATAGCCGAGAAGCAAATTGAGCCCAAAATACTACCCTGTCCAACACCATTATTCGTACAGTAGTATTCGTCATCATTATTAAATTTAAAAGTTCTCGAGTCTAAGTTGTTAAAAATTAAATTAACTAATTGCTTGCTTAAATTAAATTGTTGAGCCAGCTTCCTAGTTAGTTTGTCATGAGAAATGCTGGAGAAAGCGTCTTTTAAATCAATAAATATAGCTCCAACCTTCCCATTCTTTTTATCAATTTCACTATATACATACGTGGTGAATTCTTCTATAGCGGAGTGACACGACCGATTGTTGCGATATGCGTGTTGTTCGTTAATTAACACGTTTTCAACTCTGTCTTTCATTCTGTGGTACAAAAACCTTTCAAATATTTTGGAATACGCATTGAGAATCACAATTGGTCGATAACTCTTGGCAATATTTCGGTTGCCTTTACCTTTGTAAATGGGTACAATAGTTGACATTTTAAAAATAGTAGGTACATACATTGTTCCAAGTATGAAACTAAATAGTACAGTTAATTGGGCACTAAAAGGTAAAATACATTTCTTCATAAGCCAAACTGGTACATACTTGTTGTCATTCTTATTCTGCAATCATTTGAGATACAGTGCCAACATTAATTTGTAACTGTTCATTATTATCATTATTTAGTGTTTCGATATAGTTACGTGTTTCATCATTGCTTACTAAATTATCAGGGTTTATTTATAGACATCAAAAATTACTAAAAACCCCAACCTATGTAGCTGAACGTGCTTACTAAATGAATTTGAATATAAATAATCTCTATTTATCAAGAAGTATTTCTAAATAGAAAAATGTGCACCTTATAACACTTAATGAACAAAATGAGAATCTTCAGAGAAAATGCGTATGCAAGCAGGGTATAGGCGTTGAGATTTGCATGGAAAATACTTTGTTCACTGTGTCCGTTGTCATTTGTCACCACCACCACAAAAAAAGGAAAGACGACACATTTGAATCGATAAAAGTCAAGATTTTGTTTTTCAATAAATTATTGAATACATAAAATTCTGTAATTATTTGTAACAATTAAACAAAATTGTTTCAAAATCACCATCATAACAAGACAGCCCGCTGTATAAACGGAGCAAGATTTATGCATGGTAAGTTAATTTTACAGAAATATTTATTTTATTTTTTTAAACTTCGGTCCGTAGATTTTCCAATTATGCTTAAAATGTGTACCTAATTAAAGTCAAGACGTTAATCCATTCAACTTCAACATAATTTGAAATCAATATGAGCATATTTGCATAACATCAATTCAACAAATGTATTGATATATACTCTAATTTTTTGCATTTTGTCAGAATAGATGTAAGAATTGGTATAAGCGAGAATTGTTGGGTGTAAAAAGTAAAAGCATTCGAAATATTCATTCAAAAAGGTTCGGAAACGTATGTATTTCCCCAGCATTTTTTGAGTGACAACTAACCATACTTCCGGCATTTATCCATAACTCCTCCACCAACCATGTATTTTATGCTTTTCAGATACCCAAAAACAGGACCGAAAACTGAATATAACGGATTTTACATAAATATGCCACGAAAGAAGAAATCCACTTCTCCCCAAATACTTAACACTCCTCCCCTCAACACAGATGTAAGATCAAATTCCGTAGAAACTTCCGTATTTTAAAATTAGAGATTTGTCATATTTTGATGTATAAAGTACAATGTACCTTTTTCGAGCTCCAGTCTTCCCAGAGTTGAGTCGGATATCCGCTTTTCGGATATTCTTTGGCCCGATCCGTTTAGATTGGATATTTTTTTAATTTGAAAAAACGGATAGGATTGGATCGGATATTGTGAAAAATCCAAAATACCTAAGCATCTTTATATTTTGATCATGCCTAATAAATTCCAGGTGATTTCCGCCATCTGTTCCTGGCTGCGTGTCCGAGACGTGAAAAACTGTCGCCTCGTCTCACACGACTGGAACATCGCGGCCAAACCGGTCCTCAAACGTAAAAGTGTGATTAACCTTCCCTGTTCCTTTCACCAATCAGACGCCGTTCGAAATGAGAGGTTTCAAAGAGAAATGGCCTCCTTCGGACAGCTCCACCATGTCCACATTAAGCTCAGCAAGTGGTCCAGCCGTCCCATCGTGAAGAGAACGAATGATATTTGTCCAAGGGATGCTCACTTTTTCACGAAATACCTGTCCCCTCAAAAGCTCGGGATAACTGGGAAAATTTTTTCTGTCTTGATTTCACAATTTTTTGAACAGGTGAGTGCCCCTTAATTAGTACTTGTTCATGCTCATTCATTCATTGAGAAAAAAATCATAAATTATTCCTACATTAATCAATAAATTTATGAAAAAAGAAATAATTTATCCAAATTTTTGAATGAATAGGCACTAAACAAATATATATTTATTTTATGAAGAATGAATGAATAATTTTTTTCATTACTCGTTTTTTATGTTATATTTAATGCATGGAGTATATTGAGAAATCTTAAAGGAATTGGAGATATGTATGAAGAAAAATGAGAGATGAATAGAAAAAGAAAGTAATAGAAAATAATAATGAATAAATTCTTATCTCCAAATGTTACCTATTTAAATTAATAATTTTTCTAAATTTTTAAATCGAATGAATTTTGAATGAATAAACCCTTTTTTGAACAGGTCCTCCTCAATCCGTCCGCCAACTTGGTCCAAGTCGAGTTAGGTCTGCATGTCGATGACGATTATATTAAGGGGGACGACCCCTTAAGAGAATTTTGCACCGGGAAAGTGTTCCCCACAGTGAAGAGGCTGGACCTGCCATTTTCCAGGGAAAATTGGTCACTCGGGAAGGTTAAGGTGCCACAAATTTTGGCCGCTTTTCCAAACGTTGAAGAACTCCGGGTTGATTCGGACCTCCTGCCGGTTTTGTTTGTGAAGGGGGGTTCATCCCCAAGGTGGGTCATATTTGCTTTTTAATATTAACCTCACTGTGACCACAGTTCTCTAGCAATGATTTATAGTCCGATATTTATGATATCATTACCACAGGTATATGATGGCAAGCTGTTTAACTTTTTTTAAAAATTGTTTAAATCTCCATAATTTCCTTAAATCAGGAATGTCATGTTTTACAACCGGTTTTCTATTTCTTGAATTTTTTACAAAAAAAAACAAAACAAAAAACAACTTTGTATGGATTGTCCGGTGAAAGATAGTGTCAAGGTTCCCTTTATTGGTTCACCCAGATAAAAATGAATTTTGCACATATAAGAGACATCAAAACTGGCAAATATGATAAGCTTTCTAAAACTGAAAACAGAATTCGATTATCTCTTTTCGTTAAAAAATGACAGCACAAAATTTAGAGGAAGTGGAAAAATGAGTTTGCCACTCGTGCGAAAAAGTGATTTCTCGGATCGGGAAAAGGAACGTGACCAATTTATCCGTCAAGGGATGCATCCGACAAAATTCGTCACACACTAGACATATCTAAGGATCGTGAAAATGCAAAATTTGGCCTTGTCGACCTGTCCGCCAGAAGACCAAAATACCGACGAGAAACGTGAAAAAGTTTTTTGAAAAAGTCCCAACAGACCCATGAGGGTTGCACCCAGACAACTGAAAATTTAAAAAAGCTATCTTCTCAAGATCAAAGCCAATAAGATGGGCTTCGAAACTAGCAACATTAAAACCACGCCAAAATACAACGAAAATAAAAAAGACGGAGCCAAACCAATTTTTGGAAAACTTGTTAAGAAAATGTTAAAATATACTCCAAGAAGTTTCTTGTCATGGATGATGAAAACTACTGCCCCGTTGACCTCGAAGCGTCAATCGCGTAAAGTTCTACTCATGTAGAAGTAAAAGTGACATTCGTTCGAAATATAAATTCAAGGCCAATCACAATTTCCAATGAAATACATAAAATGGCTGGCAATCGACCAAAATGGGAGCGTCTCAAATTCATTCCCTTCCACCAGGAACATGAACTTTGAACTTTATCTGAAAGAATGTGTCATTAAGATGTTGACCCCCTCTATCAAAAACAAACACGTTTTATTTTGGCCGAACATGGGCACGTGCCATAGCACCAAAATAGTGACAGAGGACTTTCGAGGAAAAAAAGTTGATTTCGTCGATTAGAAAGACAGCACCCCAAAAGTACCTCAGTGTCGACCCATTGAAAGATTTTGGGCATAAATTGAGAAATAATACTCTCATGAAAAAAGGACATCAAAAAATTTCAAAAAATTTCGTCGGGTTATGGAGAAATTCGTTATATCCGTTGGTGAAATGAGTGGCAAAGCACTCGTGAGGGGTCCTCGGCAAAATTTTCTCTCCACGGGTACGGAAAGGGTATCTGAACCACCGAAGGGTTGAAAAACTTTGGCATTTTCATCGTTCGTATTCCACCAAAGTTTCGTTAGATTTGATTCATGCATTCATTTTCTGCAGGTCAAAATAGCTTGACACTTAACTTCACCGGACAGTCCATATCTGGAAAATTCGCAAATTTCTGGGAGATAAATGATTTTAAAAAATATATTTTTTCATCACTGTTTTCCACAAAATTGGTTAAAATGAAGTTAACAATCGTAAAATTGTAATTTTACAAGAAATCTTAACCCCCTTTTTTACCAGATTCTTGTCCAAATTGTGGGTCACCGGTTGTATGTCGGGCTCCAAGTGTTCTGCCATCCTAAATTTGACCCAGCCCCTTAAGCACCTCCACATCGAGGAAGCCTGCGACCCTGACGAATACGACTGGAAAACTGTTCGCGATGTTGGCATTTCCGCCTCATTGTACGCCGTCCTCTTCAAACATCGCCACACTCTGGAATATCTCGACCTCGGAATGGCCAAACTGCGGGCCGGCTCGGAAACCTGGAAATTCCCAAGTTTTCCTAACTTGAAGCGATTAAACGTCATGAAAGGTTTCTATTCCCACGACGACCATGGTGTTAGTTTCGATTCGGAAATTTTAAATTATTCAGAAACATTTCCAAAGCTTGAGGAGTTGCAGTTCACCCCCTGGAATGGAAATTGGACGCCCTATTTCCAGTCCTTCTTTCCCGAAAAGCTTCAAATTTGCGTAAGCGTGACCCGACTCGACATTTCGGATGAGAAGGAACACGCCAATTTTATTGACATGTTTAGAGAACGCCACCAGGGGAAAATTAACTCCAGATTTGCCCGAATTTTAAATTTGTTTCCAAATGCGGACAACCTCTTTATGCAGGAATTGAAAGGTTATTTGGTAAAGAAGGGACATATTGGTTTAGTGGAGAATTCTTGCCTTTAAACTCATCAAAGGGTATGTAGCAATATTCAAAATCCGAAAATAATTGATACTTATTGTTGCTCCAAAATCATGTTAAACATGTAAAATTTATCAAAAGCTGTTATTTATATTCTAAAAATATATTTAGTTTGAAACGAATTTTGCTAATGTGTTACAATATTTATTTATGTGTGAAGTAATTTAATATGATATTTTCTTGCATTCCTTTGTTGCCCGTTTAAGACGTTTTTCTCACAATGGAGGTCTCCCAACGTATGCTCACAGATTTGGATCAAAGTAGCGTCAATCGATCACAAATATAATTAGTATGAAATTTGCAAATGGAACTATCTGCCTATGCGCAGGTTTGGCGGAGATATTTGCATAAGAAGAGGAGAAAACGCACTCAAATGTAGGGAAATTTTTCAATTTCCAAATTTGCTGCGCATTTTTCCGGCTTCGGATGCTAATATCTCTGCCAAACCTGCGCATTGGCAGATAGTTCTATTTGCAAATTTCATACTAATTATATTTGTGATCGATTGACGCTAGTTTGGTCCAGATCTGTGAGCATACGTTGGGAGACCTCCATTGTCAGTTCTACAATTCTTTGTCTAGGTATTTATGTGTAGGTTCATATTTATAAATTCACATATAAATGCATTTGGTATTAACTAATTTCAAGAAATTCCAAGAAAATCACCAATACGCAAAAAAATGATGCAAACATTTGCCAATTTTCTTACAAATTTCCCAAAATCTACAAAATTTCGCTTTTAAAGACAGACATTTCCTCTTTTTTAAGTTAAACCTCTTTATTCCACAGGAAATAAATACGTTTTTCGACAAATTTTTATTATTGCAAAAAAATTTGCCCTCAAAAACTTAAATTCGACCACTAAATACAATTGTGACAATCGAGGGAAACTTTACGGGAAAATTTTTTCTCACAAACGGAACAATAGTAGGACTGTTCGGGATGTTCGCGAAGGGAATGTTCCATCTCCAGAAGGATATTGCGGAACACGGCGTTGCAAAACCTGCACTTCCACTCCGATTCTGCAACAAAACGGTAATAAAAGTCAGGTATTAAAAACGACAAAAATTAACTACAATTCCCATTTTCTGGGAATCCCCTTACCAAAATCAGCACATTTTTAATATTTTCTATTTAGTCAGAGTTAATTTATTTTACAATTCTAGACGACAACCTTGTCTGGTAGGTCATTTCATTTCCAATTGATTTTATGTTCATCCAATAGATATTTACCAAGTTTACGAAGCAGCTTGACGCGCAACGTTGGAACTCATCGAAATTGGCTTAAAATACTTCCACCAATCAACTTACTTAGTAGAAATTTGTGTAAAATAAATTCCCAGACCAAACACATTGTTAGGAATGTGCTAATTTTTATAATTTGGACCATGATTCAGGGGTCATTCATATATTACGTCATCAAAGAATTTCCACTTCATCAACCACCCACCCACCCAACGTAAGCATTAAAGGATTTAGGAATTTTAACATGTGATAGATTGGAAGATTTAAACCACCCACCCAATAAAATTTTGACGTAATATATGAACGTTCCCTTAGCTACAGTAAACTTTCCGATTTTTTGTTACCATTTTTGGTGAGTCACACCCCTCCAAATGCGTCACCCAGTCAGCCTCCGAGTCAATCTTGACTTCACATCCGTACGGACAGGACGTCTTGTCCGGAAAATGGACCAGCTCCACGTGACCATTCCTGGTTGCCGATCTGCTAAAGGTTTTTAAACAAATTGCACAGGAATGACGCCCTTCTTGGTTTGGGCTGGGCGCATCGTGAGATTCGTGCATGTGCTTTTGCAATAAGTGCAAGTGCGGAAAGGTTTGGGGGCAAAGGGTACACTTCTGCCGGTAGATGGGACCACCCCATCCGTGATCGCGGCGCCTGTGTCGTTGCATGCTCCGGACATTGGTGAACCTCGTGTCACATTTTGGACACGGAAATCGCTTCTCTTTTATTGGAGGGGCCGGTCTGTAAGAAAAAAATGTGGGAAATTGATAATATCCTTCTTCTTGCGGGGACGTTCATGAATTATGTGACGTTAGACGGGGGTCTGAAGCTCTAATGTTCACATTCATTCATTTAATGATGAGTGAATAAATTATTCATTCAATATTCAAAAACTGAATTAATTTTGAATGAATATTTTATTTTAATTTTTTAATAAATGAATATTGAATGAATATGTATTCAATTCGTGTGAATTAATATTTTTTCATCATTCATTGTTTGCTCAATGCTTAATACATAGCGAAAGTTGAGAAATTCATCTAATGCTGTGAATTTTGAATAAAATGAATAATGAAGGAATGGTGAATAATAATAAATGTTGAATAATTAATGACTATTTTTTTTACAAATTATGAATGAGTGAATATTTTTTTCAAGGTTTTGAATGAAGGAACTTTGAATGAATAAATATTTTTTTAAGATGTACATATGGTCACATGCTAAAGGCAGGAGGGGGTCTATATACAAAAATGTGATTTGTACATTACATAATTCATGAACATCCCATAATTCGAAACTCATCAATTTTGAAAAGATGAATGTGACAAAATCCTTCTAAAATCGATGGGAATTTAAAAATGAATAAGGATAAATCTCATTAGGGAACGTGTATATATTACGTCATAATTTTAGTGGGTCTTCCTTTGCTAAAATTCCCTATCGCTTAATGTTTACGTTGGGTGGGTGCTAAAATTAAGAATTTTTGATGACGTAATATATGGATGAGTCCTTGCAAGGGAACTTCCATAAATATATTATGTCATCAAAACGGTGATTTTGGGTCGCCTGTGTTACTCATGTTAAGCTTAACATGGCTGGGAAGGTTGTTTAAAAATCGGAGAATCTGGATTTGAGGAATTTTATACTCACCGCACCCGCCCAGTTCCCGTTGATCCGGCTGTGGAAGGAAATTTACTTAAATCAGAAATTTGAACTGAATTTTACGTATACATTTAGTTAACATACAGGTTTTGGAACTTTATTTGTGTCTCACCACTCCCAATGTAGTCAAATACCGATTTTGGAACCTACTCATCCCCGTGTATTTTTTCAAGGTTTGGTTTGATTTACAAGGTTTCGAGTTTAGTAGAATTTTGATTTTTTCTTCCATGAGAAAGTAAAAATTAAAAATATGTAAAAAAAAATATTCTCATGGAAGAAAATCATCAAAATTCTAACCTCCTCTAAACTTTGTAAACCAAAAAATTTTCGATTTACAAAACACGCACGGCAATGAACACGTTTCAAAAAAATCGTTATGTGAATACATTGGGAAAGTTGAGACAAAAATTTAAACTCTAAACCCGCACACAGTAGAACCTTAACCCTCACCGGCAATATCCGCATCGGAAAGGCCCGGATGGATTTTCTCGTTCCTCAATCATCTTGTACATACACTCGTGAATTGAGCTGATTTCAGACATAAGTAGCTAAGCAGTATATGCAAAAATTTATATGAATTTTAGCATATATACACAGGTTCCTCCCATACTATTCCACACGGGTCACTTGTATTGTTATCTGGATCTTTACAAAGTTGTCGGTGATTGATACATATTCCATTATCTCGTTGGCATGATAAATTCTCTGGATCGGCAGGGATTAATTAACCTGATAACAAATGGATTACTGAAATATAATTTCATTAACAAATGGATTAAGATACAGAGTTAAGCTGGCACACCTGGAATTTTTGTATATGTGCACGATTTGCATATAATCTAACGAATAAAGTGTTCCAATTGAATAGAAAGAAGGGAATTGTCTAATTATTCGTATTAAATTACAAAAAATCGAGTATACAAGTATAGATTTGTAGAATTGATAAAATCTGGTGCATGTTGAATATGTGTTGTGGGAATAATTGATACGAATACGAATCACCTTAAGTGAAAAAATAGATTGATAATCTTTCCTAGTCATGCACTCATATAATAATATTTATGCACATACACGAGGTTGAGGGTGCAGGATGAACTAAATTCCTACCTCAAGGATATATATTTTTCAGAATTGCATAAAATTTATTAGAACTGACTTATGCATGGTACAATGAATGCTCAATTTTCCACATAATTACACGTTGGAAGAGCTGACTACAAAGGAGTCGAACATTAAAAAATCCCTAACCTTAAAGAAAAAATCATATATATAATAAGTAATCTAAAAAAAACAAGGAATTCTGAAAAAGTCAAAATTAATTAAAAATAGTGCACCTGCTTCAACTCTTCGGTCAGGAGAGTGTCAAGAATTGAAGCTACATTTCCTCGCTGAGAGGGATGGGAGACTCGTTGACAAGAAGGGTTACAGCATTAGGCTATCCGGTTTTGGCGGCAATCCTCTCAACAATTTCGGTGATGAGGGAAATCTCCCACTGTCCCCACGCTCCGTCGTTTCCATTGTGACGGGAAAAAAATAAAACGGTCCAAGAGGAGGGCATACTTCGTCATCTTGCCATCTTTCGCCTTGCTGGATGCGGTGCCTTGTCGGGAAGATAGCTGGTTGCAAAACTGACCACGGATGCAAAATCCCAAACCAATGATTTCCCCCCTTTACCACGGGATAAGCGCCATTCTGTCGGCATCCCGCAGCGTCCCTGATGCAAGGAACTTTAGCCAAGCGGAGCTCCCTTGCAATAGCGTTGTTATCGGCCTCATGGCGACCCCATCGACCCGCACCATGCCTGCCAGAAACGCCATGGGAGCCGCGCGCAGTTACTTGTGCTCCGCAAGGACTTTGGTTTGGTTGATACACATCGCCTCCCAAGCGGAGGGAAATTTCGATCCGAGCTGATTCGTTGGATAGCGGGGTCCCAAGTTGGGCTAATGGAAGGGCGTTGAGCCATGTTTGTCCCGCAGGGCAAGATAGCGGACCGTGTCATCAGGGATTGCCGCTACCAACCAAAGCTGGGAAGAAGTCAAGTCTAAAAGCGGACGCACCCTCGGTCTTTCAGGATATATTGGAGACAAAAAATATTTCATTCGTGAGATACGGATTCCATCCTTAACCATAATGGATAAATTGTTTTAGCTCTTCATAAACTGTTTGCTTAAGCTGTATGTATTTTAAGTGAAAATGTAATATAAATAAATTCAGCATGTATAACATTAACAAATTTAAAATTCGAATTATGGTCATCAGACGAAATTCAAAAGAAACGTAAAAGAAAATTTAAAAGAAACCTTGAAATAAACTGCAAGCTTTCTGCACGTTCTTGAAATTTTTGAAGTGTACATTCAACAGTTATTTGGCGACCAAATAACGAAAAGCTATACCAACTTTTTCAATAGCCTTCAGCTGCAGTATGTAAATAAACTTGATACGTTTCTGGCTCCTTCGTTGGATCGTTGTGTGGTTTGGTTACTGTCATCTCGTCCTTAACGATGGTTACAGTAAACTTTTCCCGTAGTGTTGTAGTGCAGTTTGTTAGATTGATGTTTTCTTTAACTGTGTTATGAACTTGGAACAACTCTCCACAGTGGACATTAACAATGGTTGCATTGTTTCCGCCTTCGTCCACCAGGAGAGGACCGCACCGGCAGTTTTCCACCGTTGTATTCGGAGAGTTTATCACCACACCCCAGTGATCTTGTTGTCGTCGATACCCAGAGCATTCCACCCCATTGATGGTGTTATTAGATCCGGTAGAAAGATACACTCCCTTTAAAGCGTAGCCTAACTCGCAGTCAATTCTAAGGTTAATATTTGAGAGTCTGTTAAATGAACCATGAATTCTTACTCCTTCCTGAATATTTGTTCCAGTAACGTTTGAAATTTTGTTATGGTCAGAGTTAGGAAGTAGGCAAATCCCGGTACGAATGTTACGCAGTTCAACCTCACTAATTGTGTTATTAGATCCCTGTATCCAAATTCCACCAACGCCAAATGCCGAAGACAGCGTCAAGTTTTCAAATACATTAGCGTCACCAATGATATCTACGTTTTTATCTCCTCCGTGAAATTCAATATTTGTGACCGTATTTCTTGACCCGATCACCTTCAATCCGCAACCGAAACCACCGACGTGCATCATAAACGCAACCCCTGTCCGTCGAATGAACGTTCCATCTTTCTCAAGACATTTTATAATTGTTAGCCCAACACGCACACCGGAAATAGTTACTTCGTTTCCTCGCAGGACAAATTCTCCAACGTACACTCCAGCTTTCATGTAAATAATTCCGCCCTTACTAATGTTATCCATTGCTAACTTCAGTCCTTCACTGTTTTCAACGACATATTCTGCCCCTGAGTTTGAAATAGTGTTCCAAATAGCCCTACACCCGTTAGCGTCAATACCCTGCTGGACAATGTCATCCCATCTGGAGAAATCGAGGTCCATTTTCTCTATCCTTTTTTCCGGCTTTCTTCTCGTCATTCCAATAATGATATTTCTAATGCCAGGCATAACGGGATGGTCTACAACCAAGTCCGTTTTTTTATCATAGACCAATTTCTCAAATAAGAACTTTCTATGAGCTGTTCTAATTAGCTGCACTACCTCCCAGATTACAAGGCCTAAAGAATAGAAATCTGCCTGGTAACTGTAATCCCCATCCCTGATTTCTGGCGCCATGTAGGTTGGAGTTCCGACATAATTTGTGAGCGACCCCGTGTAACTTTCTTCGGAATGGATTAAACGACAATGTCCAAAATCACCAATTTTTACTGGAAGTTTGAATCCTGATCGAGAAAATAAAATATTTGCTGGCTTCAAGTCCCGGTGCATGATTTTATGACTATGCAGGTAACTCAGGCCGCTCAGTAAATTTTGAACGATTGTCATCTGACGGACTTGGGTATGAATTTCAGTGGAAATATGTGTCACAGTTATGTCTTCGCCTACTTTACGGTCGTCCGCGAGCTCGTTGTCCAACCATGTTCGTAGGGTTTCACCACATAGCTCCATTACAAGCCGGATCGAGGATCGAAAATTGTCAAGTTTTTCTTCGAGCTTGGCTTTTTCTCGGCTATTTTCTTCTGTTGCTGGAAGCTTTTTGAAAATGCCGTTAATATCTGCACAGTACTGTCTCTCGGCTAGGTTGATTATTTGAACAATGTTCGGATGCCCTTCCAAATCCTTCATCAGAGTGAATTCACGGTCAAGTTTGTCCGCATCGGGTGAATGTCTGTCCGGAAATACGTACTTGACTGCGACAGGGTTTCCGAATGTATCAGTGGACTTTAGAACGATTCCAAATGCTCCTTGACCGAGGATTTCGGTATAGTTTGCTTCGTTTTTAGTATTTGTTTCGGTCACACCTTCCATTTTTGTGTCAGGATAATGGTTCACGTTCTTGTGGCTAGAATAATTTAAAATTCTGAGAATAGTGACCTGTAACCTATCCGTGGCAGATTTTTATGACATCCGTTCTGTTCTCCACAGGATTTACACTCACAATGCGATGGTGTGAAGTGTAACGCTCCGAAATGGTTGAAATTTTGAAATTATGTGGTCCAAGTCAATACAACCACAATTTGTGCGATAGTGGAAAATTGTCAGAATACTTGAAGTCAAAGATGAAATAACCGGCGATTTTTATCAGGCGGAAGAAGAAAACTGCCATTCTTTTCATGCGCTAAAAGTCTCATATTTTCTAAGTTTGACGTCAAATATTTTGACAAATTTCCACCATCGCACCATCAGGAAACGTTGGTTGTATTGACTTGGACGACACAATTTCGAAATTTAACCAAATCGGAGGGTTACACTTCGCACCATCGCATTGTCAGGCCCCTTGCACAGCCTCACCCTGTAGTCTTTGTGTGTATTGGGAAGATGGCGACGCGGGTGCATGAATTTTAGTCGTCTGGTTGATTTGACCACCAAAATTAATGCATTATATAAGCCTTCATCATAATTGAATTTAAATTTTAGCTTCCTTCGGTGCTTGTCCCGCTTCGTTATGCGCGGCTGAGGCAAATAAGGGCGTGGAATACTGAGGGTTAGGCGAGATTACAGAACGTGTCGAAAATTATTAATTTTTGGCCGAAATATCCATCGCTGGATATTTTAAATGATCTCATCGTATTCCTCATCCTTTGTTCATGAGGAATGAAGGTATCATTTCCAAAAAGCCGGGCTTTTAAAGCCGGCAGCAGATTTTCTTTGAACCACTGTTCATCTAAAAGTTTGCAAAATGCATAAAAAAATTTTACGTCGATTTGAAAAAAGTGTCGATCTGAAGTTTCAAATCAAAATTAAAGCACTGGAGGCGCATAACCGGACGCAACTAGTTTACCTTTATGCAAAATAATTTAAATTCCGAATATTAAAATAAGAGTGGCTGCGAACTGGGTGGTAATCCGAGCGTTGTCAGAAAAAAGTTTCGCGTCGACCTCATATCTTCTGATCCTCGCTGAAGTTGTGCATATCTTAGTGAATAATTCAGTTCAGTGTACGCCCAGGGACCTGACACTTCGTGGCCAGTTGATTTTGTAGTATTTTTTTGTACGTCATTATTGCTTGGCAAACTGTTTTATCAGCATGGAGCTCTGTGGGGTCAATTTCTGGACCCGTTTTCAAACTTTCGAAATTGAGCTTTTGGGTCACGGCGCAGCTTGAACAAAGCTTCGAGAAAAGTTTCGAATATTTCGAATTAGCGCAATTGTTTAATTTATATGGGCAAATTGCTACATGTTCTGTAATCTCGCCTAACCCTCTGTAAAATCCTTTTAAGATTGGGGAACTATGTATTTACACATTGAAATTAGATCTAAATCTGCCACTGATGAGTATGTAGTAAGAGACAGTCTTTCTGAGTTTAAAGTTCATATTACTTTTTACTACATTCTGTATTATGCGAATATCTTACCAAGTTCTTAATTTTCACGACGTTATTTCCAAAAACCAACCTTTCGCTCATCTCCACCTGAGTGATTTAATATTCCACACGTATGCATTTGCCTTGTTCCATGGTTCTTAACAACTTGACGCTGATTGATATTCCATTATGTTATTTGCGAAATTGAAAATGATAACGCTCAGTATCAAAGAGGATTTAATTAATTTGATAACCTGCGAGTGAATATGCACACAACTACGTAAACTGGCACACCTGGAATTTGTTTGAAGCTAACCCGTCTCATTCTCATCAATCAATTACATATAACGTTTCGCATTTTGCAACATTATTTTGTCTCTGGTTATGAATATCTGGTGTTCATGTGTATTATAAATATTATAACTTGATGATAACCTAACCTAACCCTGGATATTTGAGGTGGGTGTTTTTGCATACCATACATATATAATGTTTTCTTCTCACGGGTCATACATATGTATGGCGATAAGGATAATACTGTTAGGTATATGTATGCCTACGTAGATATGCATATGTAATTAGTTATGAATCTGTACATCACTCCATCTTTAACTCTCCACTAATAAATACTCTCCTCTGTCTCTTCTCACTGTGTACCACTTATTTATGTATAATCATATATACATAACATTGGTGGACCGTCGAGTACTTTCTTTCGCTCCTCCCACTCAAAATGGATTTTAAAATTTTCAAATTTCTTCGACATCTCCTACCAAATTTGCTACGACGGCGACGACTAAGCAGCTTGACCACCGCCCCTTAGAGCTTGTCATTTTGCTTCCGATAGGGAAACTTCCCAAATCTCTCTTCTCAAAATCTTGTGCAAACTGTGTGATTTCCTGTGAAAACTTCGCATCTTTTTTTCGTGAACTTTCGTCATCTGGTCTGTAAATTGGATTATCCTCCCGGATGCTATCAGGTCTGTAAATTGGTTCTAAACCACCCTGAATATATTCCCCCATTCTTAAAATTTCCAAATCTCCAGTCCAAAATTTACATTTCATAATTCGAGCAAATATGCTAAATTCAAAATTCCGTTATTTGTTTTAAACACGTCAAAAAATATATGCAAAATTGTCCTTAAAAATTGTAAAAAAATCGTAAAAGAAATGTAAAAAATTCCTTTTAATTTCTGAAAAATTTTCATCAAAATTCGTTCAAAATTTGCAAAACTTCTGCAAAATATGTGCAAAAAACTCATTTTTATTCATTTCGTCTGGAAAATTGTCCCAATTTATCAAATTTTGCTGCAAGAATGTAATCTGATTCACCTTGTCTCAAAATTCTGCTGAACTTTTATGCTCGATCTGCGTTGTCACCACTTTCCCAGGCTCAGAATGAAATATAACGCTGAGATTAATGTTTGTAATGAGCAACGTCTACATATTATTTGCGTGTTCAAGTATGGAAATCCACATTGTACATAGTTCCCCTTTTTTAACGCGTCACGGTTATGGGTCACCCACAGAAAACCCTGCGTCTTCGAGTTGTCCGGTTATGGGTCACCCAGATAAAACCCTGACAAGTCTGCGTATTTATGTATCTCCGATGTCCCGATGGACCACATACCACGACCATAAAAATGTATTTTTCTTTGTTCATCGTTTTGTCCCAATCTGCAAGTTTTATATGAGTCAACCACCACCACGCCTGAGATGACACAATTCCACCACCGATTGCGAGCCATACCATCTTCTCAAGTTCCAGCCCTGCAAATTTACTGCGTCATTCGATGTGTGTATTAAATTGTTCAATGTTATTCATGCAAAAATCTTTGTTCATGTTTATTTTTCGGAGTCATTTCGTATTTCATTTTCCATTTTTCCATGAATCCTAAATATGTATGTATGTATGTCCAACAAAAATTCAAATTTCTCACTAAAATTGCCAAAAAAATTGCTGAAATTTTTAGTTTGCAGACCTACACACTCTTTCAGACTATTTTTCAGGAGAAAAATTTTTTCGTGAGAGGGTAGTGTTAGGTATATGTATGCCTACGTAGATATGCATATGTAATTAGTTATGAATCTGTACATCACTCCATCTTCAACTCTCCACTAATAAATACTCTCCTCTGTCTCTTCTCACTGTGTACCACTTATTTATGTATAATCATATATACATAACAATACTAACAATCTGTAAAAATTTAGGACCAAAATGGAAAAGCTTTATTAAATACCAAGTTCGTAGCATAGGGTTCTCGCCCTAGGAAGTTGTTCACTTGGTAGTTTATAGGGGAGTGGTCGAAAAAATAGGTTTAAAAATCTGAAATTTTTGTAGAATATACTAAATATATTTAAGCACGGGGCCTCAATTTTTTGCAAGTTTTCAAGTAAAAACAAATTTCCTATACTATTTCAAAACAACGAATTAGCAAATCGAGTTTTGCAAAAGTACCAGAATTTGTTTGACAGAAACTCGAATGCTAAATTTCAATGGAGAAGGGTGAGGCCGTGCAAAAACTAAGACTTAGGGCCCGTTCATATATTACGTCAACAAGAGAGGGGGGGAGGGGGTCTGACCACCAATTATATCGTGCCTATCTTGCCCATGTTAAAGGGGGTAGGGGGGGGGTCTGAAAATCCGATTTATTTGATGACGTATATGAACGGGCCCTTACATAAAAACCTGCAGTGCAGACTTCACATAGTCCGAGTCAGGTCACGTTATGCTTATCACTCAATCCGACTTTTTTTGCATGAAATTTTCAACAAATGCATTTCAAAAAAATTTACATTTAAATTGATTTTTCCAATTTAAATTCACATTTCTTAGTAATAACAATTGGCAGGCTATTTTAAAAATTTCAGTTCGATGCGAGGATTTGAAAACATCGGTATGGGTCATCAAATAGGGTCCTCCAGATGACAAGTTTTTATATTTTAGTGCATATTGTTCCCTTAGGAGCCATAAGCAAAGTATCTGCCAAATTTCAGCTCGATTTCATGAATTGGAAAAATTGGTGTGGGCCACCCCATAGGATTTGTCCAGATGAAAATGCTCCTAATTTCGATTCATGTTCTTCCATTAGGGGTCATTAACAACGTATGTAATAAATTTCAGCTCGATTGGCTGAGTTTTCAAAATCAGTATGGGTCACCCCCTTGGGATGAAAATTTTTACAATTTTACTTTATATTCTTTCATTAGAAACCATTATCAGCCTCTGTACTAAATTTCAGCTTTTAAATTTTGGTGCATAAGACCCCACCCACTCCGATGACCCCCACCGGTCAACCACTTGACCGATGTCGCCCATTTTCCACCATAACTCCTGGCTTACCCTATGCTACATACGAACAAAATTTCTAGTCAATCGGATTAGTTTTACGACAGTTACTGCAAGACAGACAGACGGACGTGACAGGTACATACATAAGCCCTGACTCGGGCTAAAAAGTATGGAGAATCCGAAAATGTCAACTGCAAATAAGCACAATAAGAAAATATCTTTCGTATCGATTGACCCCTCGAAAGTTAAAAACGATGAAATGTTTTCAAAGAGATTGCTCATTCCTGATGCGACCATGAGGTCAAGGATTAATACAAACTACTTTCATCATATTAAAGTTCATAACTTTTGGGTCAACGCGTATGCATACATATTTTTTTCTCGATAGCAAACAACCTACCCTTGCAACTAAACTCCACTCACAGCTCGAGCCTTACATATCCTGTCTATGCATACATACGTACAGCCGAGGGGTGCACAAACCTGGAAATTTTTGTGCCTACCCGAAGTAGTAAATGTGGGCAATTTTTGGGACACAAGTTGGCATATGTGCACAGCATAAAACAACCGTTACGACCAGTTTTTTAGACCATCTGTTTATCTACCTATCCAGTTACATACTTTATGTGGAACGGATTGCAGCTGCCGATTGTTCGTATTCGTTTCTCTTATTTCTTCTAAGAGAGAGATAAATATAGTGGACAAGTTTATAATTAGTGTATTAATTTTGATTTCGTGTACCTTACTTATTTTTTTTCCTGTTACCTACTTTCTGGTGTGTTTAAGAGTGAGCGGCATATAAATAGAAGTAAGGAGTGACAATTGATGAGTTTTTCAAAATTCAGGCAAACCAGTATTATTCCCGATCAGAATTTGGCGCGGCTTTTCGAACATATACAAACGCACTAGAAGTTTCTCCATCTAGAATTGATCTTCTATCGAATCGTGCCGCTGCATCGATTCAACTTGGATTTTGGGACAGGTATGTATAATAATTTATTGTTTGTTACATACAGAATTGTTGTTTCATAAACTAGGAAATTGTCGTAAATTTGTGGTTGAAATGGTTTCTAGTTTTGTTTACAAATTGTCAAAACATGTCGGCCCAAACAGATTACACATTTTTTGGACTATTTATTTACTTGTTTAATTCACTATTCCAACATGAGAAAGTAAATTCAGTTATTTATTAATAATAATTTTCCAACCTTTTTTTATTGAAGCGTGCAATATTAGAAGAGTGGCAATGAATTCAAACGAATCATTACTGATCGCAGTGAGACTGCACTGTACCTGATTATAAAATTAACATAACTTGGAATAGGTACTTTTGGTAAAGAATTATTACACAGCCCAATACTGAATTTCTACCAACTCGTATTATGTCTATACCAAAATCATTACTCTCGCGGAGTATATAAATATGACTCTACCGTATTACTTTGAGTGTGGGATTATTGAATATGTATCCCACAATAATTAGAACTAATTAAATATGAAATAAATTTTGTAATACATAAATTTAATTGAGTATGTACATCTGACTTGTTTTTTCTTAATTGAATAGGGCTCTCCAAGACACGGAACTAGTCCTGCAAACAAACCCAACCCATAAGAAATGTCTCTATCGTAAAATCAAGGCTTTGTGGGGTCTCAATCGATATAAGGATGCTTTCAACTTCTTGAAGGAAAACGAGTCCCATGTGGAAGGAATTGACTTGGATCAGGTAACTGTTGGTAATCTTTGCATACTCTGCTGAAAGTATCTATGAATTTTAAAGGCAGAAGTGTGCGCTATAAAAGATCGAACAAAAAAGTAGCCGCTCTATGTACATAATCTACTTTACTTATCGCTGCTGGCTGGGTCGGTGGCTAAGTTGAGAATTTAGACTCTCCTTTTCTCCCTCTACTCTACGAGAGAGAAAAAGAATGCTAACTTTACTAATGTTGGGTTGACGGGCCTTTTTGCCCGTCCATTGATAGGATACTACACTAGTGGTGTAATTCATGCAAATGTACCTCTTTACATGATAGTGCATAAATTTTACTCATAAAGCTCGTCCAAATTCTTGTATTGGTCACTTTTTAGTTAGATTTGAAACTTTTGGCCAAATTATAATTAGAGAGTTCATTACTAAATTCTGCTCTAATTACAAACAGGCCACAAAACTCGTGCAACAGTCCTTGGGCCATTACGACATTGCCGAGATGTACACCCTGGATCGAGAAAAACGGCACGACATCGCCGAGTACTTCGGACCTGTTGAAATAAAACGAATTTCAGGAAAGGGACGCGGACTAGTGGTCAAGGAAAAAATAAATATGGGACAGTTAATTATGTGCTCAAAGGCTTTTGAGATAGCATTTGACCAAGACACGATACATTTCCGGGGTCAAAACGAGATTCCAGATACGACAGAATGGGACAATTCTAACACTTGCGAAGGTCGTGTTTTTGAAAAGCTCAAAATGGATGCATCCCTCCGGCCACAAATTCAAAAGCTGTACTCAGGAGATGATACCGATAGTCAGAGCAAACCTTGGAAAACAGATGACGATCTAACGAAAGGCCTACATTCTGTCATGAAATTTAACTCCTTCCGTTGTGAGGAGAATTTGAGCGCTTCGACAGCCGGAGGTAAAAACCTTTGTGCTCTATGGATCCTGCCATCCTATTTTAATCACAGCTGTATTGACAGCAACGCATACTATCAGGTGAGTCCAATAGTATATTTAGTACCTGATGTGTGAAACAATAAATTGACTTTGCCGCGGTATCTCGAAGTAAACTCTCATTTTTTCAAAATATTGCCTCCTACTGGGGTACTATACTTCTCTATCGTCGTAGTGATAATTTATCTCCCTATGATAATGTACATATACACAGAGGCTAAATTTTGCCCTACCACGATTGTCAACGTGCTAGTAACAAAATTATTACCAGCACGGGATATAATAACCTGCTGATTAATTATTACTATAAATGTTACTCGCGGTAGAGGAGCATAGTACGTACAACGGTGATAATATTGTCACCCAGTTAACGAGAGAATAATACACAACGAATAACACAATAAATATGTTACGGGCTATATGAACTTAGAACACTCTTTACTCTATTTAGCTGTTCGGAGACATGATGTTTGTTCGAGCCGTGAAGAAAATTCGAGAAGGTGAAGAAGTGACCATCACCTACTGGCCAGTGAACCATCCAGCACGAAGAGAAGTAATAGCAGCACGAAACTTCATGTGTGAGTGTCGTCTGTGTCAGCTGGAACGAAAAGACGAGGAAGAGGGATCTCCAGTTCCCGCCAAAATATCGAACCTGCTCAAACTTATACGACAGAATTTCAACAGTGGAAATCCAAACCTAGACATAAGTTTGGAATGTGTCCGTAAAATCGCGGCTCTACGACCCGAGCTGCAACGGGATTTAAACGTGGCGCTTCTCTCCCCTGAAGTTGACGCTCTCCTGAAACTCACAAGGATTTGTGAGAAATCTATCTTCATCCTGGAAGCAATGCACTCCGTCTGTGCCAACAATGCCTTAGTTTTCAGCTCTCCGTTCCAATCTCAAAACCTAGCCCGTTGTTATACAGGGGAGAAGGATGCCGCGAATGTCCGAAAGTGGTGGCGAGTGTTCAAAAGAGATGTTTTGGCCGCACACGGGGACTTTACTCAAGGGGTAAAAATAAACGAGCTAGGTTTGCATGCAGATGAGATTGAATTTTATGAGAAATTGGAGGCTGACCCGAATGCAAAACTAGCCTCGATAAGCTAAAGCTACTCCATAGAGTTTAAAACTTAACATAACCTTTATGTAGAATTGTCGCAATTTCAGATGTACAAAATTTTAGGAACATAGTTCAAGATATACCCATTGACCATGAATGCCCCTCGTCCATACCCAGAGAAATACGTCTTGAAATATCCCAAATTCATTTTGATACGTTTTTTTGCAATATTTTAATTTTCGCATATATTAGGCATAGATACGATTTATATGACTGCTTATATATATATATATTTAATCTCCATCACAATTCCCTTGTCAACTAACAGCGATAATAACTCTGTAATGTGACCATAACAATTTTCGAATTCTTAATTTGGTAAGAAATCAATTGGAAATTGCTAAAGATTTTTTTCACGTCGCAAAGAAATCTTTTGACGTTACTAAGGAATTTTTTAACGTTGCTAAGGATTTATTTCCCGTTGCAAATGGATTTTTGAAACATTGGGAAGGTATTTTTGAATCATTGCCAAAGATTTTTTTGCGTGATAAGGATTTTTTTAAGGATGAAATTTTTTTGCGGTTGATAAGGAATTTTTTTAACGTTGTAAAGGGATCATAATCCTATATATATATACGGATTAATATATATTAATCCGTCCAAGTATTTTCTGCTCATGGGTGGTTTGGCCGTTTTATCCTTGTATAAATAAACTATATACCAAGAATTTTGTTCTTTAGGTAGGCTATTTTTCTATTGGGACGTACAGTGTGCTGTTGGCAGAGTTGTTCCAAATAAACCAAAATCATAAATAATAAATAACTAAATTTAAAAAGTTTAAATTATTTTGCATAATAATTGTGATCATGAATTCGGGCTGATCCCGAGAATAATTCAAAATTGCAAATCAATGTAGCCAAGAAATCGGATTTATGAAATACTTGTAAACATTTTGGGAGGCACACGCCCAATTTTAATAGATAAATGTGTCTACATACACCCCAAGGAAACGATCTACGAGGAATGATCTCGTATTCATTAAAACTGTCTGGGCTTCCATACTGTCACCCGTGCAATTCCTGCAGATCTCGGAATTCTTGAAAATCACGCAAATTCATAAATTTAGTAAATTATTAGCAGATAGTTCCAATAGGTTTCTTCACGTATAAATTCAATCAAATTCACGTGTTTGCTTATCTCCATTCTGATGATGGAGACAAGAAACGGTTAACCAAAATACCAGGTTTTAAAAAAAAGATTGACCTATTCTTATAGCTTCAAGTATTTTATATAGAATCTCGTCCAGACGTCAAATGGCTGAAAACATATAAAACAAGGAGAAATTTAACTCAGTTTAGGCCTAAATCGGCTAATACTTAAATGAGTTAATACTTAAATTGGTTAACCAATAATAATCGGTTAAGCCCATTGACGAGGAACTTACCTGGCATGTGACCAACCTCTACGAAACCCAGACGCTCACTGGCTGCGTGAACCGGACTGCTACCTTACAAATCGGTTAGGTCAAAAGTGGTTACCACCGAAAACAGTTAGTACTCCAACACAGTTTTAAGATGGGCTTTGAGCAGCCCATGGAACATGCGACCAGTATCTGCGAGACCTGGACTCACACTGGCTGAACCATTCTTGAAAACAGGTTAATAGTAAAGACTATTATCTTGGGAACCGGTCAATACTAAAAAACAGGTAGTTTGACACCGGCCATTACAAAATAATTATCTATATAAGAGCCAATAAGCCCGTCTTCCCCAAGCCATAAAAGACACACTCACAATGCGATGACGCCAGCGGTCTCGCTCCGATTTTGACGAAATAACGATAATTATGTAACCTTACACAAATAATTGAATACGTGTTTCAGGATTTTTCATAATGCTCAGCTTAAACGAAATTATGAAGTGATTCGTGAGCGAGAATTCCCATTTCCACCGTGACATTTTTCTCGTGAGGGAGAAAAATCCAGATTTACGCTTAGCGATTCCATCATAATTTCGTTTAAACTTAGAATGGGTGGGCAGGAAGTGGTTTTCTCCCGATTTCAAATTGCTCGCACAAATTTTGATAAATTTTGAAAATTTTGAAAATTTTGAAAATTCAACAAACCAGAAATTTTGAAAAATCACAATTTTTGAAAACCAGATTTTTCTTAAGTTACTCAATCGAATTTTCTGAACTCACTCAATTTCCGCTACAACCGAAATCACGCGTCTTCATGAAAAAGTAAAAATACGGGTAGAGTTATTTCGGTCGTGGCGGAAATTGAGTGGAATAAATTTTGGAATAAATTTTAACCCGAATTAAGGATTTATCGAAATGCGGTAAATTTTAAAATTTTTATCCGGTTTCAAAAATGCATAAAGATTTTTGCACAGAATTGAGTAACTTAAGAAAAATCTCGTTTTCAAAAATTTTAATTTTTCGAAATTTCTAGTCTGTTGCATTTTCAAAATTTACGTGCTGAAATAAATTAAATAACGTAGATCCCGTAGATAGATCGGAAATATCCCAACCCGGTGTTTCGATGGCTTTGAACTTGTTGAGAAATTGTAACTGAGGATTTGTTAAATTATGAAATCCCCTTACGTGGTCACTCTGCAAGGTCAGTACACTTAAAAAATTTTCAATAACGTAACATTCAGACTTACATATTTCTAGTTTCTTTCATTCGAATCATGCTGAATTTCAGCCTTCAAAAAATTTACACATGCCATTCGTTGAACTCAAATATATGAATACAGATATTTGTACTGAACATGGCTTGCGTCTCCATTGTCAGTCAAATTGTCAACTGGTGCTCCGCTTGACAATTTTTTGCTAGACAAAGTCGGAAAATTGGCGGCACCCTTTTGTAAAACTATTGTGCGGTTCCCACATCCCAGATGGGGCTGTCCAGATTATTATATCGAATACACTTTTACAGATTACATTTTGGTCCTGCCTTTGTCCTGGGCATGGACCAAAATAGTAGCCACGACAGTCTCACCGAAGAATTTGTTCTTCCATATCCGAAACCTCGTCAAGTTAAGTGATCCCTGAAGTTGTCCAAGCAAATGACAATTCCGAGATTCGACAATAAAAACTAAAATTGTTGCACAAATTAAGCCACCCGTTAGGATAAACACTGTTAGTAAGGCTCCGCTAAGGGTAGCAATATTAATAGATTTAGCACCCGCTGGTTGTTCCATGGCTGGTGTTCTTTTAAAATTGAACTTTGCCATGTCTTGGTTTTCTGCGTATCGCAATATCCCAGCTTCTGTTACACTCTGAACGCCTTTAGCCACCCGAGATCTCCACGGGTGTATAAATATACAACCGCTCGGATTACCTAGCACCCCTTTCGAACTAATGAAAAATTTTGTCCTTGGATACATTCTAGATAAGAATTCATATTCCAATTTCAGCTCAGAGAGTTTCGCTATGAATACGGTCTTCCCACACTGTACGACTTCCTGTTCTATTCTACTGCGTAAGATTGAATTATTTACGCTATCTGACAAATAACTGAATTCTTTCGGATGATGAGAATGTTTTGAATTAAAAACGTTCAGAATTGAATAGGGCATTGATCGAGTAATTTCCTTCAATGGACTCTTGTGAAATTTCCTCGCTAACAAAATCATATCAATTAAAAATTCTGGCATCAATTTCCCCCCACGGCTTTTTCGGAACGCAGATAATAAGCTGTAACACTTATTGGATACCAAAGTGGTATTAACGTCGTGCAATGTTGTGTATGTACCTTGACGTCCCATATAATAAATATAGTATGTCGGATTTAAAAACGACCAAAACCATTTGTGTGTCATGTATAACTGTGCATAGCGTTTGGTTCCGTACCGAGAGTCGTTGGCTTTAGCGGTTAATTTTATATGGTAGTATTCCACTATATCCACCATATAATTTTGGCGGCAACGCAAGTGGTCAAAAGTGTCTGGATGAAATAACTTTAGTGGCGCGTTTAATTCCGTAATCATAATTCCGTTGTAGCAATTTGTTAAAATGACACTCATGAGGCACCATGTTCCTAGCGTGAATCGGAAGAAAGTGTGTTTTTCGATCTTACTAGGCAAGAAGCCCGTCTCTTCAAAGAGCGTGGCTAATACGAACAACCAAGCGGAGAAGTGTTGCTTCTCCCTTAGGTAATGAACAGCTGTGGTCGTTATTGACACGATTGTGACGATTGATATCGCCAGCACGACCCAGAGTTTGTATTGAAAAGGGGAAAAATAAAAATAGAATGAAATGTAGGGTTCGGTGTAACAAGTCAAGAAATGGTAGTCTTCAAATTTCGTGTATATTAATTCAACATCGTTTCCCAAATATACCTTTATCATTCTGATTTTTCCATATATCTGTAGTAAGCTCCATTGTAATCTTGCCCAATAGTTGCGTTCCATCTGAAAAATATGCCTAAAACTACTTGATCTACCAAAGTTTGTATGGCTATGTCGAATCCAGTAGTTTTCTCTTTTGTGGAAGGTTTGAGCTGCCAGTTGGACTCTAAAATATGAAAATGTTCAAACACTAATCCCATATTTTCAATAGTAGAAACCAAGTTATCTTCATTGACCTGTATCTCCGGAAGGCATGAAATTTCTGAGACTAAATGTGAAAATTTATTAGCTGAAGATGGCGGAAAACAGATCTAAAAATTATGACCTGGTACAACGATAATTAAAAGAAGATAGCAAAAAGTCGGCTGGGTGAATCTTGCCAACCAGATATTCTTCTTTGGTCCGATTAATACGAAATTAATAATTGCGTTTCTATTTGACACTAAATTCCTTCGTGTAGCTCGGATATCTCTCTAACACAGATAATTTTTTGAAGCAACCTCAAACAAGTACCCCATTTGTTCAGCAAAGTCATCGTTGGGTTTATCTGTTTTCGTGGAAACTAAAATGAAACTCAATCGACACTTTGAGACACGAGAATTTAATACGTCCATTGCTGGAGCTGTGCCAAGTCTAGCATGAGAAAATAAGGCTTTATCATCCATCGGCATGAACATAGTGGTCACTAAGTTTAAATCTTCAAAGAAAAGGGGTTCTTTTAAACCCCAAGAATATAAAATTTGAATGTCACAGCCATTTAGATTCCTAAGCAAGTCCCCAAAATTAAATATTTCCTCATGCTTGGCGGCACTGCTGCAGAGGAGTAAAGTAATGCTTAAAAAGAAATGGTGCATCTCTAAGTTGTGGCGGAACATTGCAATTGTTGACTATTGGATTTTGCTGTTTTTCCAGGTACTGGTTATTTCTTAGGTGATGCCAAAGCTGGAAAGTGGGGACCTTTCAATGAGCACTTGAAAGGTGTCAAATCTCCCACGTCAAGACTATAAATATCAAGAGATCAAATTATTATCCTGTTTTAAGGGCGAATGACATCTTTTTTGAACAGTTGCAATTTTTAGGCTTTCAGAGTAGAAATGGTTGCTTGAATTAAAAACCCCGGCGAAGTCGACGCAAAATTTGAATTTTCTTATAGGACAGAATTGTTTCCTATAATCTGAACGGATTCTAATTTCTCCTTGCACGGGATATTCACAGTAAAGGTAAGTGGACACTCCAACCTACCAAAAAGATGACCATGCTGGGTTCGGATTGGGGGTTCTTGAAATGTAGATGTATGTAGAGACCGTTAGGAAACCGTGTGAGTTGTGACTTAGAAATATGTTCAAATGTAAAGAATTAATTTCATCATTGTCTATCCAAAAGTAGGTTTAAATGACGCGGGTTAAGGCGATGTGAGGCAAGGTGATAACCACGTTCGTATTTGAATCCACAAGATATGTATAATGAGGTAG